ACCATGTTTAAAGGCCTAGGTATAAACTGTATTATTAAAGACAGTTCTCCATAAAATAGTACCATTTTACTAATTACCAGTAACAAGTAATTTTAGACAAGCATATTCAGTTTTGAGTCCACATTCCTGTGTTTCAGTTAATTCTTTAGTAAGATTTCAAGCCATGAGAACCAGCAACCCTAATACCGAACCTGCATTTACGGCCGCATGGACAGATTTGATGCCAACAGAATTTTGCTCAGAACACAATATGGATCAAGTTCATATATTGGGAAGGGGACATAGTTCAGTGGCAGAACATGTGCTTTACTTGTTTAAGGTCCTATGTTCAATTCCTGGCACCTCCAGTTAGGGATGAAGAAGAATTCTGCCTGAAACCCTAGAAAGTGCTGCTGATATTGACAAGACATGGCCAGCTGGACCAATGGTTTGAATTGTTGGGACTGTTTACATGTAACAACAGTCCATGGGTTGGCAGTAACAAGCAACAGAAAATGCTACAACAATGAACCCTATTTGCCCTCCCGCCCCCTGAGATCGGCAACAGAAGCCCTCCTCCCAGAACCCTCTGTGAAAGATATTAGGAGGATGGCCTTCTCTGCGGTGGTGCCCCGTCTATGGAATGCACTCTCCAGAGAGGTCCGCCTGGCGCCGTCATTATATGTTTTTTGGCGCCAGGTTAAGACCTTTTTATTTAATCAATATTTTAATAAGTTTTAATAATGAATTGTATTATTGTATTTTATTAATTGCAGCCAGAGTGGGTCATCAATTTATTTATGCTGTTAGCCGTCCAGAGATGTTAGTAATTGGATGGCATACAAATTTTATAAATAAATAAATAAATAAATAACCAACCAACCAACCAACCAACCCACTGGGTTATTTAGCTCCCTAACAATCTATCAGTCCAGGTGTTCAGCCTCCAGCCTCAACAACTAACAAAATGAGCAACCATCAGTTGCTGGGTAAAAGCAGAAGTGGCAAAGTATGGAAGGCAGCACACTTCTCTCCCCGGCTTGTGTATGACAACCCATGGATTACTTAAACCATGCACTGTTGTTACATGTGCACCATGTCTTTACAGGCAGTTTCTTATACTCCTAACTTGTGAATGGCCACTGCATGTTAAAGCCCTAAATCTTACATTCCTCAAATATTCTGGACTACAGTATCCACAATTCCTGACTACTCCTGTGCTGGTACAGGAGCTGCAGTTGAAAAGATCTAGGGGGCAGAAGGTTCCTTGTCTTAAAACTTTTGGACTAGGGCTCCTGAAGGATTGTCAGGACTACATAAAGCTACCCACCTACTTAATTCATCTTTTGAGGCTCAATTACCTGTGCTGACTTTGACAGTAGCTACTATGCATAGAGACTTTTCATGGTTAGCCCCAGACTGCAGAGCAGCTAGTCACCTGGAAAGTCTCTGCTTTATTCTTTTTTCTCTTTCAGAAGACAGGTAACATTATTTTGCTTCAGAAAACATTCAAGATTAGGAAATGTACATTGTGCATGAATGCTGCTTATCTGTAGTCATATTATATACATTTCACTGTAGTACACTTTAAAATGTTGGGATCGTAATTAATATGGTTTGTTGAAGCCTCTGGATATTCCAGTTTATAAAACTTGCTAATCTGTTGGGGTGACTTTTAAGGTGGAATGACATGTTTCAAATGTTTTAAATAAATGGACAAAAAATTGATTTATCAAGTACTTCCATCAACACAAAAATGAAGGTGACTTTGTAGCCACCTATTTTCAAAAGATGAAAATCTGAATGATGGTTATTGAATCTGACCTGAGAAAAACCACGACTCTTTTCATTATATGGTTGGTAAGAAGGCTCCTGGACATCACTACAACTTGAGTTTTCAAAAGCATTCGCAGGTTCTGAACCTGATTAACAAGGGGAGATTGAATACTAGAAGTCATGGGTCCTCAAACTACAGCCTGTGGGACGGAGCCGTCCCGCCATGGGCATCCATCCAGCCCATGCTGCCATTTGCCGCCTGCGCACGCACTTGCTGCACGGGCAGGGAGGTGGTGGCTCGCTCACTCGGAGATGGTCTCCGAGCAAGCAAGCTGCCGCCACTGCCTGCCTCCTGTACAGGTGCGCTTGCCACTGCCTTGTAGCGTGGGCAGAGAGGTGGTGGCTTGCTCGCTCAGAGATGGTTTTGGACTTGCTGGGAGATCTCCGAGCGAACGAGCCACTGCCGTGCGCACCCGATGCCGCCTCGCATACGCCTGATGGCACCTCACAGGCCTGTGGCCCAGGCACCCCCACCTCACCGGCCCATGACGGTCACCGCAGCCTTTCAACTGGTCCCTGTTCAAAAAGTTTGAGGACCCCTCCTATGTGGTATTCGGAACCCTCCAATTAAAAATCTGTAAAACATCTGTGCTTTTGGACTCTGAATGCATGTCAGAACTAGTTTTTCCATTTTAGAAGTAGCTATTATCAATTCTTTGTGTTGTTCACACCTCTGATTAAAGAGCCACATGATCATCACAGGTCATGTGTCCATAAGAGGACACACCACAACAGCCCTTTCATAAATCATTACCTGAGGCTCTTCTATATTCAGCCCCTAATTGCTTACCTCATTCAGTTTTCTAAAATCACTAGAGATGGTATACAAACTGATTATTCAGGTTGGATCAAATAAAAATGAAATACATATTGTACAATTCCAGCCATAACATTACAGAAGCATTTTTATAGAAGGATGAAATGTTGTGCAACCCTACAAGGCAGGTTCCAAACACATCAAGAGCAACTGCACATCACCACACCACATGATCTATTATCTCACTCAAGAAATGAACAGAACCATTCATAGCCACTCTAAGAACACAGGTCCCACAGACAGTACAAGCTTAAGGGCATAATCACGTGCATTTTCAGGCAAAAAATGTCCTACAACTTCCAGCCTTCTCCAGTCAGACATGCTGGGAAGTTTAAATCTTTTTTCTATCTAAATTTGTAAAGAACCATGCCTTAAATATCTTTAGAAACCTGGCAAATAACCCTAAAACATGTTAGTGGCTGAATTAGCACAATTGGAGGATATGAAACAGCCAAATTTGAAAACATGGACTACACTCCTCACAGCTGAGAACAAACGGATCTACTTGCATAGTTCAGATGCTAGAACCTAAAATAATAAGCAGTGTGAGCTAGAAAATTGTGTTAGTTCTCCTACACACAATAACCTAGTGGGGTAAATACCCATGATGGGTTTTTCTGTCTTATGAACCAGTTCCCATAGGGTGATTTTTTTTTTCTAACAGGCTGCTCTAGAACCCATGAAATCTTCTAAGGATTATTCAACCTATGAGGAGTTCTAGTGTTGTCTATATTTGGACAACCAATCCCACCATGGGTTGAAGCAAACAGTAGTGCTCTTCAAAGGTGGAAAAAATCCCTTCCTGCTCTTGGCAATTTCACCCATTCAGTGGAAGCAACACAGTAGTTTGGACCCTGTATACTCCTCTGTACAAATTACCTTGTTTACTCGTGCCTAAATCCCTGCTTTCAAAAGTAAGTCCTACTTCTGGAAGCTGTCAGAAACAAGTCTCTGTGGAAAAAAAATTATCTAGATCCTCCTTGGACCAATATCCATGGATGAAAGCTGCTCCACTTTGGCAGCGGGTACCACACAAAACACAGCCCGACTGAAACTTCTCATTGGTGCAGAATTGTGTACCTCCACACTTGTACAAATCTGACTAAAACAATTATTTTAAAAAGAATTACAAAACAATTGGGCAAATTTGGTGTGCTATTTTTAAAAGAGGCATTCCATCAGTTACAGTCCCTGCAATGTGCCACTTGGGCACTTCAGAGAGTCTGTCACTGGCTGCAAATTTGGAGGGGAAAAAGGAGTACAGAAGAAACCATGACAAGTAAAAAAAGATGGCTTGTGATCATGGCAGGGAGAGAAGACAAGGAAGCTTTGGTCACCTAGGTTACCAGCAGGAGGACTGAGGCAGAGAACAATTTATGCTGAGCCAGAACACCTATCAGGTGTACCATGAGTTGTTTGCACAACAAACAAACCACCATGGCTCACTGCCATAGTAAGCTGGTATGATGTACAAACCCACCCATCCATATGCTCATGCAGACCCTTCATTCAAGCTGTGCAAGCCAACATTATCACTATTCAGGCTGATGTGCCTGCATCAGGCAGTGGAATAGAAAAGGTTATTCCTGCCCTGCCCTGCCCTGCCCTGCCCTGCCCTGCCCTGCCCTGCCCTGCCCTGCCCGGAAAATCACTGCTGCCTTCTTGCCATCTCCAATGCATGCTCTGGAGAGTCCATTCGTAGCAGCAAGAGAGCAAGTGGCCAGGCCTTCTAGAGTAATGCCACCAGCTGCCACTTCTTATCATGGGCAGCTGCCACTGCCTACTCAGCTTTCTAAGCTGACCAACCAGCTGGCCGATCACTCCATCAATGGTTTACTTAAGCCTGTCCAACAACTCCTGCCTTGTCCCAGCTCTGAGGCTCCTGCTGACCAACATCCTGCAGATGTCTTGTGGCTGGGATATAAGATAAATCAGGCAGGCATGAGCAAGTGGCCAACCAGGTTGCCTGGGCACATAAATTAGAGAGAGGAAAAATGAATCAAGTAGGCAAGATGGCTGGGTGGCTCAGCAGTGGCAACAGCACTATCACCTCACGTGAGGTGACAAGATTAGGTGAGCCAGGCCTGGGTGCAAAGTTTAAGTCATGAGTGAACTATGGTTCCACTCTTTTTAACCAAGCTGTCTTGTATGAGAAGCTGCAGGCAGAAGTGCAGAAGGGTACTCTCCTAGTTATAAACAAATGAATCCAGTACAAAACATCAGAACGGAAAAATATGGCTTTATATTTTCAGGTGCAATATTATCAGTAATTTCCACTTTAAAACCAAGTTGGTATAAACAACAGATAATGATAGCTTCTTCAAAACAACAACAACTGCGAGTTTCCGTAATATCATCCATCACTCACCTCAGCCACCTGCTGTGTCTCCACTATCTGCTGAGCCAGCACCTCCATATTGGTTGTCATGGTGAAGGAAGATCATTAGACAACCTGTTTGGAGGGATGCCAATAACTTCTATCAGGCACAGAAAAATTAGACCTTTTGTAATTTTTATTACGAAGAATTAAATATACAGGATAGCTCTATGCCTGAATAGAATACTTTTTCAATCTTTTTACTAGAAAATGGGACATTTTATGCTACCATCATTAAATTCGTTTAATTATATAAAAATGAAATATCGCATCTTCATAAAATAGATACAGGGCTCCATAAATGCAGCCACCAGGACCAGGCATCTTTTCTTGGTAACAATAGTTGTGGATGAGGCTTCTTGCTGAAGTTCTCCACATTAAAGAAGGAGTAAGACTCTGACCTTCCACCAGGGACCTGAAATGCTTGAAGAGGAAGGGAGGGGTCAGCTTCACACTTCCTACTACCTGGAAGGCATTTAGAAGGGTTAAGAAAGAGTCTCACCTATGCACTGGGGTAGGTGAGACTCTTTCCTCCCAGGAAAAATATATGGACTTTTCAATAGATAATATTGTCATCTTCATGTAATTACCAACATCTATGTTTAGTATGCTAAATAGTGCTAACTTTTGTACAAGCAATGACAAAATATTTACCACCTCCATGAAATTACCAACATCTTTATTTAGTTCCAGAAAAACCACCAAGACCACCTATTGACCTCATTTGGACAATATGACTATCTACTCTTATTTCTTATTGTATGTGGATTGTATGAGCAGGAGCTCCTTCACTAAGGGTGACTTGATCCTTCAAACAACAAACTGTCTATGGGCATTTCTAAAGTTGCTGCCATTCATGGTGGGTTACTGTTTTGTCTAAAGCTGATCGGCCCCAATAGTTGGCGAGACACTTGGTGAGAGCAGCTAAATATGCCACTCTTAACAAACTACTATCAGCCCAACACCACTGACAGCATCCTCCAAAATGTCCGTTTTTCCCTGCCAGTGGTGATGCAGAGATGGCATCCCCACCAACAACTTGAGAGTACACCTTTCAAGCCACAAGAAAGGATGGCTGGGAAACTGAGGGCAGTGATCTGTACACTTCTACCTCAACCATGGGGTAGCATCACAGAGTGAATCAAGCATCTCTACCTCCTGCCCAAGAGGTCCAATCCTCTTGGCAGAATCAGAAAGCACACACAGCACTCTTGTTTCCTGCCTTGGGATCCACCTTTCAAGCAAGAGATGGGAGACAGCAATCTGGTCAGAGGCACTACCCAGCATTCAAGGTTGTGCTGCTGAGTAGATCAAGCATCCCCACTTTCTGCTCCTGCTGGAGGAGGAAAGAGGAGGGTTCAGGTGGTTCAGCCTTCCTCCATGTTGTGCCTCAGGCCCTATGCCGTTTGCCCTAAGCGGACAAAGAACATGATTATTAGCCCTCAGCTCAAACAGGACTCCTGACATGAAGTGAATAAATTCAACTTCCAGTCTCAGCTGGGACAATGTGCAGAGGACTCCATACTGCAAGGGCTTCAAGTTGAACTTTCTGTACTATAGGGGCTCTCTGACAGCCACTGTGAGACACAGACTCACTCTCAGAGATAAGGAATTGGTTCTTCCTTGTAATGTCCCCTGAGATACTTTCTGGATACATGGATTCCTCCAGGATACTGCCTGAAGGAACAAAGGGGAAAGTCAGAGAGGGAGGATACTCACCATGAGCTCAATCATCTGTCAGACTAATCCTATGTACTTGACAAATGAACCAACCCATGGTGATTTACTGTGGGGGCGGGGATGTCATGTTGTGTAAACTCTGCCATTGTCTGCTTTTGCTGCTTAGTGAGGCCAAGGAAACTGTGTTTTAAAATTTCCATATTTATCTTAATTGGGTGATTTTGCTCTTCCATTGTGCTCTGGAGAACAAGCAGCATTAACTGGCTTTAGTGGTAAAAGACCTAGTGGTAAGAGACTTATAGCTACTTAATAAAAAGAATCTGAGAGGTACTGCACATAAGAACAAGATAGACTTGGTTGGCTTCCAGACCCCTCCATATGGTTGATTGTATGTTCAGCTAACAGTACCAAACATGTTTAGTAAGCTTTATTTAGACTGTTTAACATCCAAAAAGAATTGAAAATTGCAAGTATTCTTAGGACTTCCATTAACTTCATATAAAGGAAGCAGTAAAATATATTACATTGTACTAAGTAAGGCAGAAAAAGAAAGAGAGCAAAGCTATATCCAAAGATGCTGAGGTGGCGTGCATAATATATTCTGTGCTCCTCAACCCCCGCCCCCCCCAAAGAAAAAGAAAAGGGAGAGTGAGTGAAGGAGGCAATGGCTACTCCTTTCTCATATTCTCTGTTGGGTGTGACAGTGGGAGGATTTAAGTCCAACAGGGCTGCCTAGAGAGTTAACAAGCAAGAACAGGTGACAGTTGTTCCAGCAACAAGCTGGGATGAATCATCTCAATTCCACCACCCAAAAAGACAATGAAGAAGTAAATCACAACCTAAAAATACAACAACCGCTTTTGATCACTAACATTTTTGTTGAGTGATGCAACCATAAATATTGGGTCCATTCATAGGTAACCTCAGTAGGAGCCAGCTGTCCCTGCAAGGAAGCTGGGTCCAAACCTTACTGTCACATCACCCAGAAGCAAAACATAAGCAAGTCAGCAAAAGGAACATTGTCTCCTCTTATTCAGTCTGTCAGGTCAGGGAGGAGTGGCCAATTATGGGGGGGGGCATTAAAGGCATGCAAGCAAGGGTCACCAACATCCTTCCCTGATTGCACCTACTGAATATTATAGAGTAGGGCTGTCCAACCTGTGGTCATTTGAAAAAGTGCCCTGGGTGCCAGTAAAAAATGACTGCTGTAGGAGGAGGCTGCAGGTGTAGTGGTGCCCACATGTGCAAGTGTTGCAGAGGAAGCCTCACCCAACCACAATTTCACATACTAGACTCTAATAAGGCATTTAAACTTTCCCTCCATCATCCAAACACAGAAGCTAAGCTCATGAGCTGTAAGATGAAAACAGCAGTTTTGGCATGTAATATTTCTATTGTATTAAGTAATTAAAATACAAATCACTGTTATACCAGACTCTGGAATATGCCAATAGCGTCATCATTAATAGAACAGTAGAACAGAGAGCTAGCATTAATAACGAAGCCTGCTCATTTTATTTGATTAAATGACATTCATCTCCTGATGTACCACATGTTTCTAATTCATTATCTCTTGTGACTTTTTTGTGTATGTTATCTCAAGTTCTCATACCTTGTGTATTCTTTACCTGAGGTAACACAATCAACCAATTTTTCTATTTTTAAAAAATCTATTTAAACGTATTTGCAAATGAATCTATTTTAAAAATGTAAGTTAGGCAAACTGTTATGACAATCTTAAAACCGCTAAAAATCACACAGATGCAAAACTGAGTTAGTAGCCACAAAATAGTCTATTCACGTATTCAGCAATAAACTCCACTGAATTCAATGAACCGAAAATGAATAGGACTGCAACCTCAGCTCTGTTTCGGGTCAGAATATTCAATAAACACATAAATAAATCTTGACTTAAAGCCAGCAAAAAAATCCCAAATCGCAACGGATTCCCACCCCCCGCCCATAGATTAGCGTTTGCAGAAGCCCCTGCTCCTAAATATTGCCGAAAAAAGAAGAATTCAAGCTGGAACTACAACAACTGCAGGCATAAAAGATTTATTAGGTGAACATAGGACTCGTCCCCTCCGCTGTAGCCCTGCTACAACCCTTTCCCGATTCTTAGTTCAACCAATCGACTCCGACCACCGGAGATTTAAAAGCCCGCCCCGCGAGGCAACAGCGTTAATTGGCAAAGGCGGTCGCCGGTCAGGCCGTTCACCCCGCCTCCTAATAAAGGAGGAGGAAGGGGGTTCAGGAGGAAAAAGGACATTTGAGGAACAAGATGGCGGCGCTGGCAGCCAGCCAAGAGCAGAAGCTCCGCCATTTGTCTGCCCGCCCTCCTTAGCGTCCTCTTCGCCCGCAGCGCGCTCCCTCGCCAGCCTCGGCCGCGAGCGCCCAGACAGCGCAGAGCGGCAGCTCTCCGCTGCCAAGTGAAGGGGGAAAACGTCCGCTAAGATGGCGACGGGCTGCCCCGTATGCAAAATACCCGCCGCCCCCTCCCCTCCGCCCTCCCGGTGGCAAAGGTAAAAGGGTCGGGTTCAAGCCACTGCCTCCGCCCGCTCAGACTCCATCTTCCTTCCTCCCTCACTCGCTCGCTGCTGGTCTCGTTCGGCAGCATCGCGGCCACAGTCGCCCCCGGGAACGAAGGAAAGAAAGACGCCGCACCCGCCCGGCCCCCGCCAGGTGCTCTCGACACACAGACACACGCCCGACCGTACGCTCCGCTTACTCCACACTCCCGTCCGCCCGTCCCCGCTGCAACCACGGAGCCTGAGAGAATATGCTCCCCGCAAACCGAACCGCGCCGCCGGCTCGCATAAGGAAAGCTGCACGCTTATTTACCTCGGGACTTGGCGCCAAGCGAACCCGGCGGTGGCCACTTCGGAGCGCTCCAGCCGGGCCTGGATTGGGTCCTTCCCTCCCCCACCGCGCCCGGCAAGAACCGGGGAAGAGGGAGGTGGAGGAGCGGCGCCCAAGGGGTTAAAGTATTCCGCACGGAGGCGGGGGAGGCGGCGGGGATGTGACTGTTTGTTTGGGAAGAAGGGGGGAAAGGTTGGCGCTCCTGGTGAAAGGTCAGAGTTCGTGACCCTGCCAAGTGCAGCAGTCGCCGCCGTGGCCGCCTGGGAGCGTCGCCCCGTTTCCTCTTCCTAGCATTACGCCGGCAGCGGCCCCCTCCATCTCTTCCCCACCCCCCTCCGCCTAATGAGGCGGGGCCGTAGCAGGGGAAACGGCAGAGGAGAGGGAGGGGCTACCTGGGGTGGCCTTGACGCTCGCGCGGCGCCCGCTCCATCCAACCGCCGCCGCCGTCCCGAGGGCAGAGCGGGCGGCGCGCGCTCCGCCTGGCGCTCCTTCTGCAGTGGACGCCGCGCAGGGCCCGAGGCTTTGCGCCGTTAGCTGGGCGCACGAATAGACGCCGGTTGAGTAGGAGAGCGCGACCGCCTCGAAGGCGACCGCTTTCGCGCTGAATCAGTTCGAGAGGGATAAGCGGCGCTCGTCTTTATGGGCAGTGGATCCCGGGTTGTGCTTTATGTACAGCCTCGGGCCTGCTTAGAGTTGTTCTATTCAGGTGCATGGGACAGTAACTGTAAACCCGAAGTTATGGCGGCGGCTGTCAGCATCACATTTCTGATGCTCCCGCCGCCTGGAGGGTGATAGAAAAAGGTGAAGGTGAGTACTCGTGCAAGGAGGCTTGCTCGTGGGGCTTCTCTGTCATTTGTTAGGGATGATTAGTTCCCTTGAGGAGCATCCACTGCCATTTTCCCTTGGCTGCTTACTGGCTGCAGTCCTGGACCCTACGTGTTTTGTCCAGACAAAGTAAGAAACGGAAGAGAACTACTGGTTCTCTTCCAGCACCATTTTTCTCTGGGTAGTGGGATCAAGGTAGTCTTGATAGTCTGTTTTTATTGATACACTTTTAAATTTTTAATGTTACCTTTTTCTGTTAACTGCACTGGAATCTATGTAGTTGTGGAGCAATACATAAGTGTTAGAAGTAAATAAAATATTTAAAGATTCCTTAGTGAACAGCTGTGCTGGGTGCAGTCCTCATTGCATGCTGTTGAAAACGTAAGGAAGCAGAAAGAAAGAAGGGCAGCTGTTTTAGTCTCTCTTTCTGAAATACAGCAGGGAGAATTAGGGCATAAAAAGAAGATTTGTGCTCCTGCAGGGAGCTGGGCCTGGTCTGCACTGCCCGGCAAAGGGAGAGCACAGGTGGATAAGTGAGGCAGGGTTATGTCTGGTTCAATTTTTGCAGCCTTGTGTGCCCCACAGGCTGTGTAATAGGAAGAACTGGACTCTGGCAGATATAGTCAGTTCACCTACTCAGTCATTCCCTTTGAGCAGCCCTGCTAGGCCTTAACCACTTCACTGGGCTTATGCAGAGAAAGAGAAGGTGGCAGTTCTTCCTGGAAGTCACTACTTCTTGCTTAACTGGGCTTTCTTCCTGAGTAGTATGGTGGTGGGTTACCTGCTAGCACAGGGAGCAGCAATGTGGAGTATAGGCCAGTGAGGTGAAGCAGAAATTTTTCCAATACTCTATTTTTCTGTGGAATCTATAGTTGGGTTGTTGTACTGCAGTCATGCTAGATGGGCTACATATATGAATTCTTCTAAGTTATTCTAAGTCAAGTATTAACAAACCTCAGTGTTAAGTATTAACAGTGCTCAGTTGTCCACGAGTGACAAAAATAAATTATGACAACCCCTTTCTGAGCACAATGAAGTTGGGTCTGGACCAGCCTTATTCATGCTGTATTTGTTCTCTGTTGCTAACATTCTTATGTAACAAGCTGAAGGAAAGCCAAAACTGAGAGTGATGTATAAAACAAACATATATGTAAGGATGTCTCTACATTTTTACAAATATTCCAATAAAATAGTTTCTACATAAAGCTTTGGATGTGTTTGAATATAGGTTATATAACGTTTAAACTATATTGTGTAGTGAATTTATTTTTTCCTTAAGCAAATACTTAAGTTCAAATATTTTGTAGTTATGAGGAAAATTTTATGTGTATTTATACTGCACATAAAATGGACATAAATTACATTTTAGTTCTATTTATGAACTTTTCTTACTGAGGATGTGTGTTGGTAAATAAAGTAATTGAAGCACATTTAATTAAACATTAAAAAAATTATGTACATTTTTCTGGGTCTTCTGGAAATTCCACATCACTGAGCATGGCCCAGGCCCTCCCAGAGAGTTTCAGGAGGTGGTAGCGGTTGTTGCTGCTCAGTAACAGCTGGTTGGGGTTGGCACCAGTGGGCACTTGTGAAGCATTGGGACTTTGAAAGCTACCTGATAATGCTTCTATTTATGAATAGGATGAATATTTTTACAAAAAAGCCAAAGCCACCAAATGTATCCACTGATACCTTTGTTAGGCTTGTCTAAAATGTCAAAGAATTCAACACACAACCTGGAAAGTTAGAACTTTAAACCTTGCTGTTTACATTTTTGTTCAATGCCATTCAGTAAACAGTAAGAATGCATTAAGAATGTTGAGGCATGCTATGTTGTGAACTATTTAACCTGATGTATCTGCAGGAACTGGGTTACATATCCAGTCCCCACTCAAGGATTATGCTGTGTAAACCTGTGTGTGAGGATTTCACAAGGCTTGAATAACCATGAGTTATACAAGGGTTGGCTGTCATTTCATGAGAATCAGCTCATTGTGATTTGTGATCTATATTTTTATCAGGTTTGATTAAACTGTTCTAAAACAATGTGTGCAGTGCTTGTGGATCACAGGATTCTGACTGGAAAAGATTCAAGAATTAATCTCCAGAGAGTATTCTTCTAGAATGTCCATTGCAAAGTTTTGTGGGTAATTGAAAACCCTGTTCGAGCATCTTTATGACATAGATTTGGCAAATGGGAACTCATTCTTTGAATTATAATTACTCTTACTAAGGAGCCCTGAAAATGGATCCAATTGCAAAAAAGAATTGCAACAAAGAAATGGCCCACAAACACTGTGGACTTGAAGTTGCTCTATAAAAATTTAAAACTGCCTTTTGTGAGGGTATTCTGCAATATTCTGTAGATCTGATTGACATTAAAAACAATCATAATATTTAAAAAAATCAAAACCACAGCCAGTGGTTTTTGATGTGAAACTTCAACATGGAAATCATTCTGAAGTTTTTTTAAGTGCTTTCTTTTCCTGTTTAAAACACTGCCATTTTGTAAATTTGTTAACAATGAACGGCTGCCAATTAGAAAAACTTGGTGGTTTCAAGGTTGTAATTAATGCTTTTTAGGTGATTATTCCTAATTGCAAGTAGGTGAGAAAATACACTTATATTGCTGAACTACATTTATCAGTGTGAAACAGAACTGTTAGTAGTGGCTGTGAAACTGAAGGTGGCCCTAATAATACTCGTGCAAGAGAGTTAGAATTATTGAAACTGATGGGCTGTGGTCAGTGTATCATGCACAGTTCTTTGAGTTGTAAAAATAAAGCAGCTAATAAAAAAAAGTTAAGATTTTTCACTTCTGTTTTTTCCTTAAATTTAAACAATGTACCAGAAGTGCATGCTATTTTGAAATTTTTTGCAAGTACTCCAAGAAAAATGTCTACAGAATGTAACATGTAAATCACATTAAGGGTACAATCCTATGCATGTTTAGACCACACAAACCACAATAATTTTATTTTCATCAATCACAACATGGCACATAAATGCTTTTACAAGCAGTCTAAAAGCAACAAGACATTCTTATTTTCATTGTCAACAAATTAGATCTGCCAAGAACCGTGGTGGCACTGAGTAAGATATATAGGACCTAGCTAAGATAGGACTTGGCTTTGGGTTAAAAGCTGTCCTCAGATTTTGTTGGTATTTTAAAGAAAATCATTGTCCTGAAAGATGCTTGAGACATGATCGTTTAGCCGGTCAACATTGGTGGGGAGGCACAGGATAAGCTGGAAATACCTTTTGAGCTCCAAGCTAGGATTCCAGCCATGGAAGGCAGAGCATTAGTGTAGAGCAGGAGGAAAGGCACAGTCTTCTCTCTGCCTCCCCACAATTCCCACACTGTATTTAGGTGGACCACCATTTCCTACTGTCTAGCCTAAGCACTTTAGAGAGAAGGGGAAAGAGGAGTACCATCTGTATAGCTTGTACCCTGGTGGCCCTGATCACTTCTATGTTCCTCTCAGCAAACATTCCCTTTACCCCCTCTCTGAGCTTGATTTTTCCAATTTGGAGGAGCAGTTGGCAAAGTTATTTATACGCTGCCTGTGAGTGAGTGCTGAGTATGGATCATCAGCTGCAAGGTCACAGTTGGGCTTCCAACTTTGGAACTGGAATCTGAATTACCCTAAGGCCCTCTGGATGCCATATAGAAGCCATAGGATTGCTCACTGATTGTCTTGGTTCAAAACTAGGGATGGTTAGGAGCCTCAGGCTTCATTCCCTCTCCTCTTAGTTTATAGGGGTTGGAGATTTAAAACATCTATTCTGCTTAGCAGCAAGCTTGAATTTCTTGCTGTGTCTGAGCTTAACAAATTCTGACTTCTTCAAACCTCAGTTAGTAAGCCATTATATCAAACATGAATCCTGAAAGGCACGAACCCACCCTATGGAAGATTATCCTTAGTTGGCAGATATATTTTCCACCAGCCCTGCCAAAGACCTCCCTCATGAAGATTCTTCTTCCTTCAGCTGTCACTAGCAGCAGCTGTTTCAGTCAGCTAAGTGGGAAAACCTGACTAGTAGAACATGACACAAATGAAAAGAATGGTGCACTGGTTTAACTGCTGTCTGCTCATTGCTATTATAAAGCCCTGCTCAAAAGCTAATGTAAAATAATAGAAACATTGCCAACTCTTGCCATAAAACAAGCTATGGGGCCTCACAGTAATCTGCCTCTTGGATGTTAGGTCAAGTGTTCATTGTTGCTTTAATTTTTATTAAAGATTAAATCTTTATTACTTTATTAAAAACATTAAAGCATTCATTGCTTCTTTCAGCCATATGGCTGATCCTGTCCCAGCTGATTTAATTAGCCGAATGGGCAAGGGTTATGCAGACCAATGAGAGCCCTCTACAGAGGGCTTCATCCATCTCAAGTCCACTGGCTGAAAAGAATCAAAAGCCTACTGATCAGGCCATTGTCAAAATTAACAGCTACCTGAACTGTGCTGGAGTCCATGTCAGGGTAGATCAGTATGACTTTATCCATCAAGTGTGCTGATGTCCTGTTCATCTGAATCCTAGATGGCAAGTATGTAGATTCCAAGCTATGCAAGCAGATACTGACACTAGCCATGGATAAGAGGTGTTAATCTTAGTGTCTAAATATTCCTACTGTACATGCTGGAACAAAGATGTTTTATAAGCTATGCTCAGGCCTAGCAGGACACTGTTTCCTACTACCTGAATTTCTTACTACCTGGTTTTCACTGAGTACCTTTTCCGTAAGCAATGTAGGAGTAAGCTTATGAACACAAGTCAGTTCAATATGCATTTTCTAGGAAGGGTTTAGCTTCCCCATTAGGTGTATAGGGATGGGGAGAATATTCTTCACCACCATGAAGTTGCAGATTCAGATATAATGGAAGGTTTTCAGTTTATAATGGAAATGGCAGTGATTTCCCCTTTATACTTGAAGGATTATCTTGTTACATCATTCTGTCCCTGAGTTTTAAATGAGGACTTGGCGGAGCTGTAGAATGGGTTGCGATATTTGTTGGCCAGCCCTTTCCCCCAGCAAAATAAATGTCATAGACAGGAACAATGTAGTAATACTGATACAAAATCCAAAAGAAATAGTAACAAACTCCTATGGACCTGGTATCTTTATTTTTTAATATTTCTTAAAACAAAAGATGAATAGTTACTCTATTTTTGCAACAAAATTTGAGTAGTAGTTTTTCTGTAGACTTAATACAACAACAGTTAAATGCGAGCACCAATATAATACTGTTATTCTGTCGTGCATGTTTATTTTTAAACATTTCGTACAGTGCAATCATATACATGTCTACGTGGAAGTAGAGTTCAGTGGGACTTATCCCACATAAGTGGGTACAGGACTGTAGTCTTCATTACTTACTTACACTTGGTATTTCACATTCTGCTCCTGTCTGTGCATTTTTATTTTATTTTATTTTTTGGCCTCTTTTCCTTCAGTCCCCTTCTATAACAACAGTGTAACATTAGCAAGGCCAAATTTGTAACCTGAAACATGACTGAATACTGAACATTACTTTAAGATGAATGCTAAAGTTGCATTTTGATATCTCATCCTTGCACACTTCCTGTGCCTCATAAAATGGAAAAAACTAATACTGAAATAACAAAACAGTACAACCATTTTCCCTCCAAGCCATATACATTCTTGAAATAAAACAAATAATTGAGTATTTCATTTGAATAAATGTAAACTTTTATACAAACAAGAGGATCTAACCCAGTCAAAAGTTTAATTAGCAGTTCAAATCATGGCACACAATATAAATATGGTTATTTCACAAAAAGGTATTTTACTGTACATCTGAAATTTTCAACTTTTAAAAATAAATGAAAATATCTGTTCGCTGAAAGATACCAAGTGATACTGATATCACAGGTTGTAAATGCTGCCACTAAGGTCCCATCATAATCAGGTTTTCATGCCTAGGCAGTCTTGCAAATCCATCACTACAAGTGTTTTGGATCAAGGCTAAATCACTGCAGTGCAATACCATTTTTTTTTCTTATTTGGGTGTAAAACCCTTTCAGGTAAGATGGTCCACAGATGCTTTGGTTCAATGACACAGTTTCTGGATTTGTTCTGGTATTTTCTATGGCCCTATAGCCTTAAACCTGATGCGGACTTTCCTTATGAAAGAGAAGGCTATATTCAAGCGTAGAGAAGCTATATTAAAGCTTCTCTAAACAAGAGGGAAAGTGTTGGGCTTTTCTAAAGCAGTTGGAGGAGGTCTTAATTTAATTGTTAACTGCCCGTGTTACTTGGATCTGTCATAATACATCTAGATAGGTCCTACTACTATCCTTGGCTGATGCAATGTGATGACAGAAAGAAAAAACTGAAGACCAAACTTATGAGCATTCAAAGAACAGGATGCCACCTTACTATCCACTGCCACAGTGTGAGCAGCACACAGAAGGCAAGCGTACATTTCCATGGGGGGGGGGCATGGTTAGGTGCTATGACTTCTGCCAGCCCTTAATATACGCTCTGCTAGAAGAGGAAGCAGCAGCAGTGGCCACAGCGTACTTGCCTTGGCCTAGCTGGCAGATTACATGGGATCCCAGCTAGCCGCCTTGAGTTGGATGTGGTATAAGCAACTACTAAGCAGAAAGAGTTGCCTCAAGAAAGAGGCAAATTTCTGAAAAGGTTTGGGAAAATTCCTACTGGCTTTCCTACTCAATAGCCAGTATAGTTAAGTGCCTTTTGCCCTGAAATAATGAGACAACACCAACTTTTGATAAAGAATATTTTAGTAATAAGATATATAAAGTAACATCTTGTTCCCTTGGCTTTTCAAGGATATAACACTAGGTAAACCAGTTTGAACAAAACTGTAGGTTTACAATAAATTAAGTGGAAACTGGTGCTGTCTTGATAAAGATTGGGTTGGATTTTGCAATTTTATTTTTAGATTTAGATTTTTATCCTGCCCCATTAGCCCTACTGCAATGCATTAATGACTCCACCAAAGAAATAACCTCTTTCCAAAAATTATGTAAATTAAAGTTGAATTACTGTCTTGTGTTCTTACCACTGAAATACTGTTGGACTCTGTATTTTCACACACTTTATATAGCAGCAATTCAAGTAAGCATAGCACTACTTCATCTTAGTAATGTAAATAGGCTAGCGGTCCATGCCTCTTTGGGCAAAAAAGGGGGGGAATTTTATATGTCTTGTAAAATTTAGGGTGCTGCATTTTATGACTGACAAGCTGGCAATGCTCTTCAGAAGTAAAACTGAATCAGTTACTATGAAATAAGCATATCTTTTAGAAAGAATAGCTAGACTGATTCTACATCTTCAGAATATGATGCAGCTGTATCAAATGGGAGAGCAATACAGTGGAAAATGAACTTGCAAAGATAGAAAAGAGGCCATAAATTTTCCATCTGCATGGAAGTAAGTTTGAGGAAAGAGGAAAAATAGTCTTGTACAAGTGTTTTCCAGTATGTTTACTCAGAGTGGAATATATACACTGTTTCTTCCAGCAAAGAGGGCTGTTGCAAGTATAAATGGGTTCATTCAAAGTCCACTTGGATGATGCTATAACACAGATGCTTCCTCCATGGCTTCAATCCATCTTTAAAAAAAAGGAAGAATCGTAAGTCTAACTGTGTATCTCTACTTAAGTCTGCAAAAAAAAAAAAAAAAACCCACAGAGAATCGCATAACTGGCATGTCTGTTTTTTAAAAAGCCTGATTTTGAGGATTGTGGGAACCTTGTTCAGTTTTTACCATTGCTTTTTCATTATCTTTGTTATGATGTGGAAGCCAAATACCTTCCAAACTTTCCTATCATATAATAAAATTTTGTGGATGTAGTATAATGCGTTTGGAAAGATACAAAGTTTCAGGCTGCAGTCCTATATGAACTTACCTGAGAATAAACCTAACTCAAGAAGGTTTGTAAAGGATTGCATGGCAAGCCTCTTGCTTGTATCTTCTAATGTGCTTTATTTTTTTAAATATGCAAGTAAAATACAAACAATTCTCAACTAGAGTAAGACATATGAGAGCCAGTGTGGTGTAGTGGTTAAGAGCATGGGACTGGGACTCAGGCGATCTGGGTTCTAGTCCCCACTCAGCCATGGAGCCAACTGAGTGACCTTGGGCCAGTCACAGACTCTCAGCCTAACCTACCTCACAGGGTTGTTGTTGTGGGGATTAGATGGAGGAGGAGAATGATGTAAGCTGCCTTGAGCCCTTTATAGGAAAAAGGCAGGATACAGATTGAAAAATGAATAAATATGATACATTTTCCACTATAGTATCACTTCATATGATTCAGTGTCCTTACCTGTGCAAACACAAATTAGGACACAATCCTATGCATGTGAGAAGGGAAGACGAGCAACACAAAGCATTCCCTAGTCATCATAGCTACCTAGGGAATTCTGGGAACTGTAGCGCTTTTCTTCCTTTCCAAACATGCATACAATTGCATCTTTAATAATGTACATGCCAAGCAATGGTAAGCTAAAATCCCATGTACATTTAAGTGGGAATTCCCTCCTTTATATCAATGCATGGGCTTAGCTGCATGCATCACAGGTCTTGAAATCCAAAAAAGCATGGGTAGGTAGGGAATCAACCTATCATGACTTTATTATCTTGTGTTTCTACATATATTCCAGTACAGCAGGAATATTGTCGGCGTGTTCACAAGACTGAAAAATGTAAGATGCATTGCTTCTAACATGGGTGTTTATGGTGAGCGACTTCCAGTCACTTAAGCAGAAATTTATTTGGCTTCACAAAGCTTCCCTGTCTGCAGCTCATCAATGAAAACCACTGCGGAAATCTTGGCTTGACTTGGCCATGCAAATTTTGTTTCTGGGTTAATGCTTGCTGGATTGTTTGAGTTAAAGCTGGCACTAATTAAGGTTTATGCAAAAGCAGTATGTCTGTTTAGCAGCATTTGGCATTTATAAAGTGAGCGCATTAGCAGAGTGAGAAGCAGTGCACACACTTTTTTAGTGGTTAGTATGTTATTATGGCAGGTCAACACCCAGTACCTCTGTGCTGAATTGTTATCCTCTGCTCGGAAGCTATAAAACAGAGTTTGCTTGTGGTAAAGATGGAAAACTGCATCCATATTTCTGTCTTCCTTTTCTGGGACAATTGTGAAGCCCAGCAAAGGCAAACTCTCTGTGGCGACTTTATCCTGGAATCAGTGCAGAAGGGTAAAGGGGTTTTAGTGGGAGGGAACGCTACATACAGAAATATGTGCTCTTTGGAAGAGAATCTCTATTGCATGAACATACAGCAGGGACTCCAACTCCTCATCTGGACTCCTCTGCTTGCTAGCGGAATATAAACAAATTGTGCTCAGCTGATACTTTTGGGACTTACCCATCTGATGAGAAGTCAGTGCACTATTTTCATGAATAGAAAGTGCCTTGCAGCACAATCCTATGCATGTTTTGTTGTTTAGTCCCTACTTGTGTCTGACCCTTCACAACCCCATGGACAACATTCCTCCATGCATGTTTAGGCAGAGAGAAAGGACCCTTTGCTGCCTTACGTATGCATGGGGCTACATGTTTAAAATAGGTAAAAGTATTTTAGGGGATAGCAGTGCCTGTTCCAGGTTTCAGGGAGCTCTTCGGCAAGTCACCCCGACTGAACCCTCCACTCAGCCTACGGTTCCCTGTCACTGCTGCCAGCTGCTGTTGCTCTGTTTCCTCATCCTTTTGGCTGGCCTGCCCAGTAGAAAACCAGTGAGCGAGCAGGCAGTGGCATGCTTCTTCTCACTGTGGCCTTTCACTTGCTTGCTTTATACCCCGTGGGCCAAAGCAAGAGAGGGGTACAGTTCTCTGCATCATGTGAAGCAGGACCTTGCAGCAGCTGAAGAACACTCCCTTGCATGACAGGCCTTACCTCATTTGCTGTGTAGGTGTACAGCACTTTGCCCTTTATAACAAACCACAGCTTCTTCCAGTGCCTTTTCCCCCTCTTGCACCTGCTGAGGTAGCCACTGATGGAAGAACCTTCCCCTGAAGCGGCCACCTGTAGATGAACCAAAGACCTCATGACCACAAATGCCTTGGAATGCAATAGACTGATTTAGATCACCAATACCATCCTCTCCTCCAGTTTAAATAGCTTTCCCTTTGGATTTTTCAGTATTTTCCAAAGAAACATTCATGCTGGTTACAACAATTAAAGCAAATTGGTCTGTAACTATATGGAACTTTTAAACTCCTTAGAAGTTGTGTCCAAAATCTTTTGTCCTGCAATCTTTAGGCACTATAGAATCAGACCTACCTGCATGTTTCCTTTTCCCATCTCTCTAACACATAAGGATACTAAGCAAGACCATATAAGACTGTGTAGTTTTTATTTGGAATTACGCCTGATTGAACAAAGTAGGTTTTCCAAATAACCATGCATTGGACTGGGCTCTCAGTGCTGAAAACTTTCAATAAACACACAGGCAAACAAGATACTTGGCAAAGGAGGATCTCACAGTGAGACAGGAGGTACTATCCATGGGGTTTGGCTGGCAGAATTACATTTATTAATTATTATTTTTAGCCCATCTTTTAAATAATGGAACCCTTTCAAGGCTATGCATAAGATAAGCCCCCACAAAGCAATAGCAATCCAATCTTGTGCATGTTTAGACAGAAAAAAAGTATTGTACTGGCTGGGTAATATTGGGAATTGTAGGACCTTTTTGCACCAAAGTATATGTTCTTTAAAAATCCATAAAAACAGATAAGCAATAAAAACAGCAGCTGAAGACACTAAAGATTCAATACAATAGTCCCTGGAAGGGAGGCTCAGAGACGGGGTTTCTTGGATTCACCCTGAAGCTGTAGACACTGCTATGATTTTGAAAGAAGGACTTCGACATCTGATTCCACCCCCCCCCTTCCTCTCCCCTGCCACTCACAACTGTCATGGAAAGAACTGCAGTGTCTGCTTTCTGGGTTTGCTTCTGACCTTGTAGAGGGCAAAGGGGGGTCATGCCAGTAAGCAGGGAAAGCAGGGAGGTGGATATTCACAAAATGCTATGGCATCTCTAGTCTCAACCTTGTTCTTGGCACCGTGACTCCTCCGGATGGGTTCAAAGGCTTGTCCAGAGAAAAATGTAATGGGGGGCGGGCTGGAGGCAAATATCTCCTGCTGTGGCTTTTCTTCTTTCTTCCAAGCAAATCAAGACAATGGCTTTCTAACTAGAAGTCCTTGTTATGTTAACCTGATCAACTAGGCTGGCTTTGTGTTACAGAAAAAAAGGATTGCAGAAGTAAATAACAAAAGACACAAAGTTAGAATACTGGTCATTATGGATAGCAGCTTAATGATACGAAGTTAATTCAAAACTAAACACCCTCTTTCTTCCCAAACCAAAAAGAGCTGATTCCATCTTCAAAGTTGATCATGCTGCTCACAGACCAGTTGCCTGGAATGTCTGAATCATTTGGCCTCATTTGCTTCCTATATTCATGTCACAGCTTCAAGGAGAGGAACAGCTGCATGGTAGGCATGTCATAAGCAGAGCCAGCTGGAGCTTGGAGTCAGACTAGATGGCCCAGGAGGACCCTTCTGACTCGCTCTGTTTCTATGTTTTTATGAACCTTCCATATCCAGAATTAAACTACACCCAGCTCCCTTTCAAATTCAAACTTAGGAGAACTGTAATTCATTTCATGTGGAACAAGCCAGGATCACAAATACTGCTAGATCCTGGTTTATTTGAACTAACCACAGTTCCCCAGAGTTAAAATATAATGGACCTATTTACACAAGCACAGCAAGAGAAAGAAGTCTTTGGGGCTTGTTTCCTCCACTGTGTATGCTCATTGCCTGTGGGATGAATTAGTGTAATTACTCCTAGTAATGTGGCTTCCCATGTCATGGAAACTGGGCTTGGTTAACAAACTAAGAACCCTACAACAGCCCATGGGTCCTAGATAGCTTGCTAAACATGTCAGTAAGCTCCCCTGGCTTGGTTTGTACTACACAGGAAGCTGTGCTGCCAAGGGAAATCACGCTAATGCTCCTAGATGCACCACTGATAAACTATGGTGGCTTATTAACCACCCCCAGTTGTGCAAAGTGGGCAAATAAGATGTGGTTACTTAAAGCCAAAAGCTGTTGGTTCTGCTTCTACAGTTGAGGCAGAGGGAAAGGCACTCCAAGGCTCCTACAGGCTTGTTCAATAACACTATATTATCATGCATCATTGCACAAATAAAATGTTGATAAAAAAAATCTTAAGGAAGCCCCCCACTCATTTTATTTGATTTTTTCTATACTGTCATTCATTAAACATCTCATGACAGTTTAAAAATAAACAATAACAATGAACAATGCACATTCAATTTCTTACTATCTGTACAAATATGCTGCTAACTTGCTAAGTAATTTTTCAGGGGCTAGGTCAATTAGATCATTAGAAAAAAATGTAAATTTGACACCACATAAGAATGAGTGCTAGAAATAGATGCTTCTTCAAGTGGGAATCAAAGGAGGACCAGGTAGATCAGGTAGACCCAGTCCCCACATCAATATTGGGCAGGAAATGCTCTTCACATGCATTGCAAACGCAACCTAGTTTTGCCAGGAGATTTAAAATGGTTTTCAAACCAAAGGTGAAGATCTATTGCCCCTAGGACACAGGGACCTGTTCAGGGTAACCTTCTGGCTAGGAGCTTAATATAACAGGATAGGTTGATTTGATAGGTAATTCTGGCCCTTTGTGATCACACAAAAGTAATCTGTGATTCATTTTTACAGATTTATACCTAGCTGGATAAATTGATAGGATAGTCTACCATTCAGGAAGGGAAAAATAGAGTTATTCTTCCAAATTAATTTGTCCTTCTGTGATTTGATTTTTTCAATGTTATTTCCGAATGGAAGTACGAGAAGATCTAGGACCCACCTTGGAGGGCATTTTTACTTTCCATACCAATGTAAATTCCAAAATTACCATTTGATACTATTGTGGACTATAATATGTAAGCACTTATGATACAAGAGGTCACAGAGCCAGCTAGTTACACAGCATCAGAAACTTGAACTCCTGCTCCTCTAACATGTGCCTCCCATCTTTTAGTTTCCTTGCCTTTTTGCAGGCACCTTGCTCCTACCTCCAAAAGAGCTGAAGGGATTTTCTTTTGCCTTTTGAAGGATGAGTAGTGGATATTGTGGAAGACAGAAGAGAAGGCACTGCTTGAAAACCTGGATGAACTTGTAGGGAAGCTCATGCTTATTGGCCGCTCTGTAAGGGAAGAAATGGGAAGTGGAAAAGAGTATCTGGTACATCAATCGGCCCTGACATATATCTGGGTATCTAATACAACCTCAAAGCATTTTAGTACAACTGATAGTATGTTTTTCTACCATTCCTCCAGAGGGCTTCAAACACTACATATGAATTTCCTTATTTTATCTTCACAATAACCACATGAGGGAGGCTAGTTTAGCCAGTTATCCTGAGGTTGCCAAACATATTTTGTTGTTGAAGGAGATTCTGAATTTCGGTGACTTGGTACAAGTAAAGTAATTTTGCTACGCCACGATCACCACACTGACCCTTCAAAACAGTCTTCCCCAACCTACTGCTCTCCAGATCTGTTCCTCTGAAATGCCCATGGGAATGATGGGAGTTGCAGTGCAACTGATTTAAAGGATACCAGGTTGGGGAAGGCTGCCTTGAACTCAGCAAATGGAAGCCCACTGGTCTGATGACTTAATGGCAAAGATGCTTTGCATCTCAAGCTGGCATGAAAAGAAATAACTCAGGTGTTTTTCACACAGGGTTTCTCTATAGGAGGTATTTATTGTGTACTCATGATCCCTTACTCATAGAAGTTTGTGGGGGGTTTGCATGATGTCATCCTCTTAGGGCCTCTCTACAATTTGCCAATAATTTATACAATGCGTTTTTTGAAAGAGTGAGGAACATCTGGCATTTTCCTAGATGTTAGTGTAGTGATCTTCTGGGACTCAGGAGATCTGGGTTCTAGTCCCTACTCAGCCTTGGAGCTCCCTGGGTGACTTTGGGCCAGTCACAGACTCTCAGCCCAACCTACCTCACAGGGTTGTTGTTGTAGGGATAAGATTGAGAGGAGAATGATGCAAGTCACCTTGAGTTCCTTGAAAGGAAAAGAGGCAGAATATAACTCTAATAATAAATTTAAAAAATCGAAAATCTGTTCTGTACCACAGCACCACCTTCTGTTGCATAATGGAACATACACAAAGCTAGAGAGGGAAACGCTCAGAAAAAATTTGGGTGAGGGGCTCTCTAATTCTGAAAATAAAAAGGAAAAGCCAGCCTCAGTAAAGCACTGGTTTAAGTGACATGTAGAAAAGTCTGTTGTGAATGGTTCTGAATAAGTTCTCCTTCAGGACCAATTCAGTCCTGGGCAAATTCACTAGATTCACTTCAAGGCCATACAAAACAGTGGTGCCAAACCTATGATCTGGAGGCTGCATCTTCTGCCCCTATTCCCAGGCCTCATTATGCCTTCCACCCTGGGGTGAAGCCCAGTAATCCTATATAAACCACTGGTTCCCTTCCACTGCTTGCAGCAACAAAAGAGATTCCTCTTCTTCCATTACCATGTATACCTTGCTTCCTCTTGCAGGGTCCCTATACAAGGATGCCAAGGTGGCTGATACGTTCTCCTCCATTCCATTTTATCCTCACAGCAACCACCCTGTAAAGTAAGTAGGGCTGCACGTGTGTGACTGGCCGAAAGTCGCCCAATGAGCTCCATGGTTTAGTGTGGACTAGAACCCAGACAGTCAGAGTCCCAGTCGAGTGCTCCAACCATTATCCCACTCTGCTCTGAGTGAATCAGAATCATTGGAAAGCGCTTCCTGCACCTCTCAAGCCACTCACGACCATCACTCAAGTGAAGAAATTGTGCACCTTCGCATACATTTTGCCTTCAAGAGGCAGCAGGATGTGGCCGATTGCTCCTAAGATATCCAGAGCAGCCAGCAGGGCCTTTCTATGGGTCGCTCTTGATGAGTGGCTGGTGAGTGTGATATTTGCTCCATAATGGCCTCCTGTCTGGATGGCAAAATGCCTTGCAAAAGGAACCAAGGCCTCCTTCTGCCTGCGTATGCCAGCTGAGTTTCCACTGTGTAATCAAGGCCTCACCTCTCCTCTTGAGTTCTCCATAGCAGCCATCACAAACTTTGGCTAGTCGGTCCTTGAGGTACTTCAGAGGATACTTGTTTCTTGAACAATTTCGGCATATAATCTGCAAAGACACAACATAAACCATAAAGCATATTCTTTCAAGCAAACCAGTGAGATGCAGATCAAAGGTGGGAGGGGCTGAAGGCACTCCAGTCCAGCCATGGCCCACTGGGCAGGGACATCCAGTTTCACCACCACACACACCCATCTCAACCAAGTGAGGCAACTTGGCCTTGAGGAAAGACAAGCAACATTAAGCTGAGGACAGGACAAAGAGTTTGAGATAATTCATACTATGACCCATGTCTCTTCATTTCTTGGGTACACTCCTCATCATCCAAAGGAAATGGTTATTTCCCTTATTTTTCTTTATACAGATGCAAGTCCCTGCTCATCACTTCCAAAAATGGAAGGCAGGAAGATAGCACCAACACAGTGACAGTGGCTTCTACTACAGGCAACCTCAAAGCTCTGTAGCCAGAACTGATCTGCACTTACTGTATATCCAGTAACCTCCATTGTACAGATGAGGCGCAAAGCAAAGTTCTTATGAAGTCCTGCATCTGAAAATGGAATTCCTTTCCTTGTGTCATAAGCGGGTAGAAATATTTTGGAAGAGAGAATATCAGGGAAAAGAGATGTTGGTGCAACACATTTGGTTTCCAAGAGCCCTGAAAATATCCATTTTGAGAGGCTTACCTTTCCGCACGCATGGCAATGGTGACGCCTCAAGGTGAGCTTGAAGTCACAACCACAGTTCATGCACATCATGACATGAGACACAGGTACCAAGGTTGGAGGCCTCTCACCCAAGGATATTCCCAGCCTTTCCCGAAGCTGTAAATATAATGTAGAAATGTATTGCTTTATTCCTAGCTTGGCTTCTTCCTACAAGCTGTTCCTCACCTGCAGCAATTTCTGGTGGAGAAAACACAGCACTGGAAAACACAACACTGTGCCACACACATCCAGGGATGCACCACAACGAGGCATTTTGGAGGCATTTCCCTCTCCACCTTCACAAGGGAGCAAAGGAGTCCGGGGATCAGTCAGTACCATCCTCTTTCCAAAGCACATGGATAGCAGAACCTTGAACAGGTTCTTGTTTTCCCTACTGCCACTGTTACTCATTTTCTCCAGAATTTGCTTCTCCAGAAACAGTGAGCTCAGGTACAGATCAACTTGTGACAGTTCCTACAGAAAGTGGAGGATGCCCAGGAAAAGGAGGGCCTTTCTTCCCCAGGATACCACCCCATGTTTCAGCTGCAGCACTAAAATGGCTATGCAGAAAACCAGCCTCTGGATAAGCCGCATGGGATGTAGAACTGCTCCAAGCACGTAACTATTGAGGAAAAGAGGCTACTTGATTGTTCAAGTGCAGACAAGTCTGCTTTAGTTTTCCTCTGAGGAAATTTCTGCATAGGACAGGCACATGTGGACTGTATCCACAACATAGTATATGAGCAATCAACATTCATCTATTGTGTTATATGTACAATAAAGACATGCGACTGGAGACCCAATCTACATGTACAGAAGTCACACCCAAGTAGGGAAGAACTCAAACATGAAGTGATTAATTATGTTGTGAGCCGCCCCGAAGCTTTCTTGCGATGGGGGCGGCATAGAAATGTTTTAAATAAAATAAATAAATAAACAAACAAACAATCCTAAATGGTCAGTTTTTAGAATGATTAGGACTATTTTTGTCACGAACACCTAGATTTTAATAGAATGTACTAGCTCTTACATCATATATTAGTATTCGACAATAACAACATAAAGAAAAATAATGTTCTGGGTTCATTCCCTAACACACAACTGTGTGCATTCAGGTAAATTTATGATTGTCAGAGACTCCTATGTGTCCCATAACCTACAGGCCACACAGTACCTTGCAGAAATATTTCCCCCCTTTGACTTTTCCATATTTATTTAATGTTTCAACCTGGGATTGAGATTAGGGCACTGATACCACTGAATTCAATGCTGTGAAGCTGCAAAATATCCTTACTGTGGTGCAGAATTTAAGGAGCACTGCTTGTTAGTTTCTGTGCCCCCTCTCCCACTGGTGAGAGGCAGGGAAGGGCTGCCACCTGTCCCCCACAGGGCTTCCGCACAGAGTCCCCCACCCCCGGGATTCTGCCTGGAGGCTGAGGGAACAGGAGGGGGACAGGGTGATGGTTAGCTGGGTGCAGCTGGGGCCCCTGGAAGCTTTCAGCCTCCGTGGTTATACAGCTACCCTGGATTTAAAGGGTGATGCACACTCAGCCATTGTCTCGGTATTTGCTAACAAAGCTGCAAAGTGCTGAGAACTGCAGCAGCAACCTCAGCAGGATGAATATTAAACACACATGCTGCAATGACCTTTGTTGTCTAGACTTGGCAAAGCAATTTACATGACAATAATCCAAATGTCTGGCCACTGGGGACTCCTTTACATAAACCTACTCAAATAGGTCAAGAAACCTGCTGGGATCTGAATCTTACTTCAACATTGTTGTGAAAGCCAACTGCACTGTGAGACCTGTGGTCATCCGGGATGCTTCTGCTGATGCAGCTGTACCACTCGTCCCTTTCAGAGCATGAGCTGTGGAGAGAAATGCCGCAGCTTGGTCAAAGATAGGCCCTGCTCTTCCTTAAGGATTGGCTTTGCTCCTCAGAACGTCCTCTTCCCCATTCTTCTGATCCATCAGACATCTCTCTGGACAGAGAGGAAACACAGTTCCCAATTGCTTGGCAATCATCTCTGTGCCCTTCCTGGGGAAATTTTGAATGCACTTGGACTGGAGAATGAGAAGTCTCAACCCACACTTCTGCAGACTGATCATTAGAGGTCACTGTTGCACCATACAAAACTAGGCAAGGCCACCATGTATGCTATTTTCCCCTTTGTATGTTGGAAAGCTAAGCAGCATCAGCCCCTCTGAGCTGCCATTTGCTGGATGGGTACCATATGGGTACCCATATGCTTTGCTTCGTAGGGCAAAGAGCAGCTACAGTGGGGTGGAGGGTGAGGAAGATAGATTCACAACAGAAAAAACATGCAGGGAGCAGGAGTAACCCCTCTCCCGCAGCATCATGTCCCTAATCCAAATGGCTCCCCTGCCCCACATTTAAGTTGCATTTTAAGTTACATTTGCCCTCATAAGGTGTGTGTGTGGGGGAGATCCAATCACAGATTTCTCACCATCTCACCTAGTTGTGTGACAATAGCCTCACATTCCTCACCTAGATCACAATATTCTGTGTGCTGCTCTAAATAGTTCATTTAATTCATTGATGCGCCAAACTTTGTTCTCTCTCAGGGCTGAAAAAGATCTGATGCCTAAAACAAGGCTCACCCTTTTGAATGGACAACTTTTAATGACTTTAGAAGTACCAACAAATGGTGGTTCTTCTAAATCCGGTAATCAAGAACTGGCCAAGAAATTACAATCACAATGCAACAAAGGCAAATGAGAGAATCTGGGGGGACAATCCCTCAAGCAGGTAGTCCAGTGTATAAATGATTCAGCATACACCACAAAGGTAGAACGGAACAACATTTAACAAGGAACACGGGGCTGTCCACTGGAACAGCTTCAGATTCAGTTATCCCAGCTATCCCTCCATCATATGTAACACAGCTTTCCCATTGCCCTAACTTCATTCTGCTGTTTGTGTCCCCAATAGCAGCAGCCAAAGCTTCTAGGTAGGAACTGTTCCATTGAATCTGGTGACGGGGCTGGACAATCTGCAGTGGAGGTTTTGTTGTCATGTGTAGGTTTTGGATTAGCACTGCATTAATTGACTGTTAGCCAGAACAAGCCCAGAAACCGAGGACTCTGCAGAACAGCACTCAAACTGTCAAGTATGCACTTTCTCTTCTATATCATGACACGGTGACTTTACTCACATGTTGGGAAATGGAGCTTAGGCATCCCTAAATGCCTAATAGTAAAAGATCCATTAGATCCATAATTTTAATACAGAATGGAAGTAATAATTATGCTTGGAATCCTACAGAGAATTTTTAAAATAAAACTCCCCCCCCCAATGATTGCATTATTTCCAGATAATCCTTTTCCCCCCATAAAAGCGATCTTATTGAACAGTTTTAAGAAATAATTTTGGGGGGAATAAAGTCTGTGTAACATTATATAAATGTCCTAAGGATCTTTAAATTATGCAACTTTTTTAGCATTTATCTCTAGAAAGGAGAGAGATCTTTTGCTTCCCCTCAATACCTATTTTTGCCCCTGAAGAAATTGGCATAACATCCTGTTAACACTCAGACACAGTGCTGATGGATTATCTCCTTGCCTGGCCAGCTGGTGCAGCGCAGAAGAGTGAAAGGGCAGAAGAAACTCTCCTCTATCAGCATGAAATCCATTGCAGGGTCTTGGGCCTGGTCAAAGGCAGGCCCTGCCATCGGACATCCAAATGTCTGGATCTGACACTAACACTCTACTCTCTGCTGCTAGAGGATTTCCCGTTAGGAGCATGTGAGGGCAGAACATATGCAGTACCCTGGGCTTGAAGCAACTGAAAGGGATTTTGTGGGGCAGCAACTATTTTGCTGCAAGAAAGTGAATTAACCATCTAATGTTGTGTCTTTCATCTCTGGAAACCTGGAAAGGAATTAGATAGAGGAGTCTCCCTCTTGTGGTCTGCACAGATCTATGATTGCTCAGGGGCTACTGAAGCTGCCCCATGGCCCCCAGCCAATGTCATGTGCAACTACAGAGACTGCAGGGATGTGCTGACTGTGTCTAGAAACCAGGCGTTTCCTCGGCCAGCTGGAACTGCCCATGCCACTTTCCAATGGAGGCAAGGAAAGCTAGTAAACAGGGAATAACTGCAGAACCCTACAAACGTTGTGTTACTTAGGACCCAAACTTTTCTGCAAGAGGTCCAGAAGCAGTTAGCACCAGTAAGATCCAATTCTTCTGCCATCAAACCTGTGATCTCACTGCACTTCCTGGTTGTGATGGTTGCTAATGCATTAGGAAGGTTCCTTGTAAACAGCAACCCCATTACATTGTCAGCAAAGTTTTCAGTTTTTCCGGCATCATTTAAGTGCTATAAAATGTCTTTAAACCCACTGTGCAGAATTGACTAATTATGACTTTTCATTAGCCTTCCATTACCTCAAGGACACAGCTTGACAAGTGACGTTGTAAGAAAGGAAACAGACAAAGCATGACAGCGAAAATGTTGCAAGAGATCAAGGAACAAACCAGGAGTCTATTAGAAATAGATTTTCTTCTCTTCCCTCTTTGCCTGAGATCTTCTGAAGTGCCTTTGGCTCATTAGAAACATTGAGAAAGTGGTGTCTTCTGAGCCATACATTGAAAATGAATGCCTTCTTTATAGTCAAACACTTGGCCATTATCTTGTCACAATGCTGCAATTGTTAATGGAGTTTAAATATAGCGAGACACCAATTATGTCTTGGGGACCAACTGCTCTGGTCCAGAGATTCAATAATAATAACTGAAAAAGCACAACTGGTGTAAGATTGCCTACCTTGCAGAGAGAGTGAGGGAATTTTCAGCATATTCAATCTTCAGGACATTTTGGGCTTTTTCTGTTACTGGACGACTCACCTAAAAACAAACACCATTTGTGTGAAGGAAGGAAACTGCAACACTGAGGGTCACAATAGCCAAAGAGCTGGGGAGAAGACAGTCGCTCACTGGCCGAGCACTCGCTCTGCGGTGCTGGATTGGTGCTGATGGTGCTGGGTTCAGTCCCTAGTGTCTCCAGGGCTAAAAAAAAATTCTGCCTGAAACCCTGGACAGGTTCTGTAAGTCTGAGTTGACAATACGGTGCCAGAGGGACCAAGGGCCTGACTCAGCGTAAGGCAGCTTCTTGCATTCCTCTTTTTCCTCTACACATTCAACCAAGGTGGGTGAATATTTGTATACATTTAGATGAGTATTGAGGGAGTTACTGACTCACCACAGGGAAATGTATGACTGGAAAGAATAACTCCCAGCATGCCCCAGGTGGCCAGGTTGTAGGACTTACTCCTGTCTAAACATGCATAGGATTGCTTCCTTAGGGCCTATCATTTAAGAAAAGCTGTGTGAGTCTGTTGTCGCAAAATCAACAATGAATCCTATAGGACCTAGAAGACCAGCACATACACTATGGCATAACCTTTTGTGGGCTACACTCAGATTCGCCATAGAATCAGAGTTGGAGAGAGCCTTAGAAACCATCTAGTTTCTTGCACAATGCAGAAACAAAGAGTTTCCAAGAGATGCCTGTCCAGCCTTTCCTTGAAGATCTTCGTCCATGGAGGACTCATTTTCCATTTAGTCCCATAGCAATAAGGCTTGCTGGGAAATGAAACGCCCCCTTTCCTTCCAACCAATGAGAATGAAAAGGCTTCCAGCTAAATGAAATGGCACATTAAACAACAGAGGGGAGCTTAACTGTACCCTCATGCCAGAGACAGCCAAGGAGTTCTTCAGCCGGTATTTGCCATCCTTCTGGGGATACGTGTACAGCAGAACATCATTCATCTGTGCAAAAAGAAAGACAAAATCAATTACCTGCAACATGCCTTACAAGCCTCACTTGCCTTCTGGGTCTGGTACCAAGACTCCTACCTGGAGTATTACTGAAGAATGATCTGACCCCCAAATTTCATAAGGACCAAACTGCAGCATTAAGAATGTCATTTGGGTGAATCTGGGTGTGTGATAGAGAGGCTGAGTTACTGCTTCACTCCCAGGCCACATTGAGGAAAAGTCCGTGTTTCTGCCACTAGTGGGCCAAATGGTGATACAGATGATCAGTTCATCTGTAGTGATGGAAGAGGAAGTGCGCCCATTCATCCATCAGCCCCATAACACTAAGACCACGACCCCTGTGCGCATGACACTTGGCATGCATACGAAGGGCCCCCTAGTTATGTGAACCTTGTATTGCGTGGTTTCTAAAATTTCGTAATTACAAATGTAAAAGGCAATTTTAATTAGTACAATGTGTTCATGAGTTGAAGCCTACAGTTATAGCTTCAACCACTATGTCAGACTCCCCTAACAAGCAAACAGCTTTGGAGTTCACATGGTGGGCAATGTGGGAACCCAGTATGGTTATTATTATGATTGTTATTACATTGCATTCATATACCATCTTTTTTCCTCTTGTGAGAAACTCAAGCTAACTCACATAGTCCTCCTGCATTGCATTTTATCCTTAGAACAACAACACTATGAGATAGATTGGGCTGAGAGTCTGTGACCAGCCCAAAGTCACCAGGTGAGCTTCACAGCTGAGTGGGGACTGGAACCCAGAGCTTCCCCGGTCCCCAGTCTCACACTCTCACCACCACCCCACACTGGCTAGGGGGCTCTCTGGGTGGTTTTGGATCAGGCACTGATTCTCAGCCCAACCTGCCACCCATGCTTGTTCTGAGGATCAAATGGAAGAAGAGCATCATGAGGAGCCTTGGGTTCTTAGCAAGAGAGGAAAGGGCAGAGGATACATGTAATAAACAGATTTTTTAAAATGCTGTTCAAAGCCAGGAGAGATTAGTACAGGGCTATTTGCTTTTCCATGCTGCTGTGTGGTAGCATCCACCCTACTAGCAGAATGGAGTGGACATGGCCATTCCTAAGAGCACCCACAGAAATGGCTTCAGGCAGGAGGGATGAGTGCAGTGTGTCTAACTCTGGCAGCTGTGCGAGTTTGCCCAAAGGCTTTGCTGGACTGAACTATGACCATCTCAACCCATGTCAGACTCAGCCCATTCACTGGTAATGTGATAAGTGAAATGTTCTTGATGGTTGTGTGAGACCCAGGCAACTTTCCTCCAGAATGAAATGTTGAAAAGGTAACATTCCAAGAGTTTCAAAGATGGAAGATTTGGGGAGTCTTTCCCCAGCTAGCAATTTCTGTAAAAAAAACGTAATGACATTGGTGCCAACCCCCTCACCCTCTCTGTGGCATTTGGTGAGCATCATTAACATTTCTTTTAATCTTTTAAAAATATCTTCAGCAGTTATGTTCTGTTTTAGAGTGCTAATAAAGCACTGTAGAGCACAACCAAGCCTGATTTTTTAAAAGTGCAAATCCAATCTTTCATTTAATCCCTGGGGAATACTGCATCAGCCAGGCCTTTGTTAACACAGCTGTGGAGCAACAAGCATTATTTTTGTCGAATTCCACTTTTCAAGGATGGGCTGGGTCATGCTAGGAATTGAAGGCCGTTTTTGTGTCTAAGCAAGTGCAGGATCGGGCCTTTAGGGCATATTTGCATGTCTGTGTGGGGCTAGTATTCTGTGAACCCATGGCTCCATACTACAGGTCTAAGGGGGCAAGCTAGGCCAGATGGCAGGATATCTAAGAATGGGCTCATTGCTTTCTTTCTTTCTATTACGATAAAAGCTGCCATTGGAGATGCTGGGAGGACAAATTGTGGCTTTGACACTCAGTGAAGAGAGTTTAACTGTCCTAATGCCCTTTTCTAGTATAAAATTTTCCCTTCAATGATGCCTGCAAAAACATGTCCTGTGATAATTTAAAGCAGGTCTGGGAAGCCTCAGTCAACCCAAGGGACAAGTTTATTTTTGGAAAAGTACTTGGGGGCAACATTCTATTCGCAGGTGGACCAAAGGCAAAAGGAGTCCATTTTATTTTATTTTATTTTTTGAAAAATACAAGCATGCTGTAGCTTAACACCATCTGGGAAATCCAGGTGAGCCAGAATGGGACTCTGGAGAGGCAAATGTGCTTCTGGGCCTGAATAAAGATTTAGTCTGAGTAAGGTTTCAAAGGGCCCAAATATATAAAACATTGCATATGCCCCCCACCCCCGTGATATAATCAGCTATACTTGTATTAAAAAGGACCCCAGTCTAGTTAATAGTGAGCCCAGGTAGTACATGAACAAGTGAAAAACCACAGGCTTAGCATTGCAGTTCAAAGTAAACTTGAATTTATTATCATGAAATAGGAATGTCCATGGCATTTGAAAATAGTAAGGACAGATGTTTCAAAGAAGGCAGAAATGGTATGGGGGAGGTTTGGGGGGAGAGAGACACACACACCCAGCCCCATGATACAAGAATACTGTGTAAATCAGGGTCTGGGAAATGCAACTTCCAGCCACTTCAAAGATGAGATGAAGTGGTGCCTTGTACGGAAACCCAATGCTTATTCTGTTTACACTGCAGTGAAAGTAGCTGGCCAGGTTACTAGACAGGCGGGGGGTTTCCTAACCTGTAGTGACCTGTAAACATTTAACTGGAATGATGAGGCATGGAACGTGGGACCTCACCTTATACTGCAAAGCATGTACTCAGCCTCTAGAGGTTAGAAAGTACATCTGTACAGAGCTGGAATGATTCAACCATGAGCATGTGTTCCCATCCATCCCACACAGTCAACTTGCCCCCTATAGATTGCTAGATTTGAGATCTTGATGTAATATAGCAATCATAAGTGTAAGAAGAAACATGTTCACTTTATTTCCTTTAAGATACCCTGTGGATATGTCTCTAGTTTAAACATCAATAGTCTTTCCACATGACAAGGTGATAAATGGCTTCTCAAGTAAATTTTATTTTGGTATTATTTACTTATTGCTTCATAAATCCCCCCTCCCCCACATTAATCTAGTCATCAGAGGTACTCCCACATGGTAAGATCCTATTATAAATCCCAGATTAACAAGGGCTGAACATATCCAAAGGAAAAAAATATCATTACAGTCCCTTAGAGACTGGGGGTGGGTGAGGTTATAAGAGGAAAAACCTCAGCTATTAAAGAATGGTTCCCTGAAATGAATTTCACTGTTTTTTCCCAAAAAGATTAAATGTGGGTTTGAAGGAACTAATGCCACAGGAAGAACATCAAGAGAAGTTAATTCTGTTACCAAGCCACAAAAATGCTCTCAGTTCATGCAGTTAGTAATTTAGCCTCTAAAATGAGATGTTCCAGCAAAGAAAATACATAAGAGAATACATAAGAAAATTAGGTTGTAGCATCCTTTGACTATTCTAACTTTGCTTAATTAGAGGGGAGGTTGTGTCCTTTCTTTGCCTGTTAATGCAGCCACATAGTTTGAGGTCACGCCAAGTTGCGGAACAGACAGCTAATGAAGGGCACCCTACCAACCCCAAAATTAGTTCATATGAGGCATTGTCAGGCTCTTCCCAGCATGCTCCGCTGTACCTCTTCCTACAAATTCTGCTTATTTTATTTCTATGAAATATTTCCACAAAGCCCAAGACATTGTATTGTTGGTAATGATTAAAGAAGCCACCTAGTGCACTGTTGCTATGGCAGCCATGATTAGTAGCCCTCCATTTTATTAAACATTAATGGTGGTTGTGTTTGCTAATTGCCCATTAGAGTTATTTCCCATCTGTTTTGTCTTTATATTTAAGGAAATGTGTCTATAATCTCCTCCAAGGCCTCACTAGCCATGACTTGCCACTATGAAATGCAAATTAACATTGCTCAACTTGCCAGGAGGGGGATGGAGGCACTGAAGAGTGTTGCCAGGTTTGAACAGGTACACAAAAGAATGGCATGAGTGAAATTACATTGGTGTTTCTATTGAATAAGCACCATGCAAACAACAGCCAGCTTGTTCGTGTACATTGCAATATGCTGACCAACTGGGGGAGCTCAATTGTTTCCTTTGAAATGTGCCTGCCGACTCAACCAAGATCTTCACACTGATGCATCTAGCATTTGTGTCAGTCTTGCTTGTGCTGATTTTCACTGAAAAAGAAAGCCTCTTGGCTTCCACTTAACTAATGGTGCTGCAAGGTAGCAGAACATACTGTATTTTCTTCAGGGATTTCATGTTAACAGGATATATTCTTTGAAAACCTTAAAACGTAAGAAGCTGCTTTATGTCAGCTCAGTTTGTGCTTCCTTCCAGCACTTGCTGATCAATTCTGACTGACAAGGTCTCTCCCGGGTCTTAGATGTGATCTTTCCCAATGCCTATTACTGGTTTCCTTTTAACTAGAGATGCTAGGAATGGAACCAGAGGCTTTGTACAAGCACACTTTGTACAAGTTACCACTGAGCGATGATTCAGCCACATAAAAGAACCTGTGTGTGGCAACCATCATACATGACACCATCCATGCTGGTGTCAAAGGCAGGCACGGCTGGGCACCTGCAAGGGTCCACAGCCCCGCTGGGAGTCCAGGCACCTTCTGGAAAGAGACCCCTGGAGTTGCTCCTCTGCACCACTGCAGCTGCTCGTTCACTCTGTCTGGGCAATGACGGTGGTGCTGAGAAGCAGGAGACGCCAGAGCCTACTTGCTCCTTGGCTCTCCACCTGTCAAGTGAGTAAGCGAGCAAGCTGCAGGCGCAACAAAAGCCTGATCAGGGAGTAGAGGGAGCTGGCGGCAATACTGAGAGACTCAGAAGTAGATTGGTGAGGAAGGGTGCCCTTTGAAGGTGTCTTGCCCAGGTGCTCTAAAACACCTGGGGCCAGCACTGCCTGCTACTTTTCTTGTCATTTAATTCTTCTGTCTCAGATATCAGGCCAGGACTGGTAAGTCTGCTGTTATTTTCCTCCCTCTCATTTTACCCCACCCCTGAGGAAGGCCTACAGACTAAACATAGCGCAGGATCACTGTCCAGCAGCCCTGTGTCATGTTTTCCTCTTCCTTCCAGCGCATTGTCTAAGCTGGTGTCCCAGCATCACTGCAGTGCAAATTTCCCCACCCAGACCAAGGGCAACCAACGAGGGCAGAGCAATCCACAGCTTAACAAATAAATTTTGGCTGAAATAGAAGTTATGGAAGAGGAAGGGGAATGTAACACGGGGCTGCTGTGGCCATGGGTTATTTTATATGCCATGTAGCTGTAGTGTAAATAATGCGTCCCATACAACATTATGGGTTTTTAATATCTATCCCTCAGGCAAGTTAAAATGAGAAACATTAATATACCACCACTTGGCCCAGACACATTGGTATCTATGAGCAGAAATTCTTTCCAGACATCTAGCTCATTTACATATCTTACCATTTTATTTATTACATTTATAGTCTGTCCTCTTTGAAGCTGCTGAGCGGGATGCCCATGATTCCTTCCCAATGCTTTTATCCTGGCAACAAGATGATGGGGAAGCTCAGACTAAGTCGGGTTTGGGGAAGGTGTAGCCTTGCGGCTGTGCTTGGACTGCAACTCAGCACATTAGCAGTGTTGCCTCAGGCTGAGGGGAGAAGCAGGCCCAACACACTGGGAAGGACACAAGTTGCCCAAGAGTGACTGGCAAAGGTCACCCCAAGAACTCCACAAGTGAATGGAGAAGAGAACCCAGGTATTTCCTTAGCTCCTAATCCAAAGCATTGCTTGCCCTCAGTAAGGGCATTTTCCAAAATTTCAGTGGTGCAAATCCACAATGGAGTCAAATAGGTTCAGATGTATGTAGATTGGCTTTTTTTTTTTTTTTAGTAGTTGTGTGTATTCAGAAGCCCTATTTATTCAGACTGTTTCAGCCCCACTCCGAACAAAACCACAGGTGAAGTGGTACTTAAACTGCAGCAAGATAACACATGTATATTTTAATCATGTACATTAGAACTTGCTCTCCAGATTGTGATATTCCTCCTAGTCTTACCAGTGACTTCCAGGTGAACAGGGTGGAGCGGGGTGGGGGGAAGAAGCGTCATGTTTTCTGGTCATTTTATTTTCCTAGGGTTCATTAACTTGGAAACTTTCCATTAACTTTAAGAAAAAAACCCACCAATCAGGGGCAGCATGGCCCTTCTGTTTTGCTTTCTGTATAACTGCAATTGTTATTTTTCAGTCCAGGTATAGATTGCATTTCAGGACAATGCACATGCCTGACCATGGCATTCATTTCTGTCAGAAAAGCAGGCAGAACTGTCACTTATTTTCCCCCTGCAGTGAACAGCCAGTTCTGTTCTGAGTAATAGAACTTTCAACAGGAGCCCGAACTCATGTCACATTTAGAAATGGCTACCCCAGAGCCCTCTAATAGTAGATTTACCCTCATTTCCATCCACACTTTGTTCCTCCTACAACAGTGACTCTATCATGGAGACTTTTATGAAAACATCAAACTCTGAAAAAAATAATTGAACCTGGGGCAATGTTTACATCTCCCACTGCTGGTTCATCAATGCAGCTGGCAGAGGGAAAGAATCTCCAAGAACTGTACTGAAAATAACATTCTAGCACTTAGAAGTTCTTTCTGCTAATACCACAGTAAGAGCAAGCTGAAGCTTTCCCCTTCAGTGTACTGAAATCAGTAGATAAGGAAGACCTAATTCTGCACAGAACCTAGCTGTAAAAAGAAAACCTTGTTGGAAAAGAAGATATCACATTTTTTTGTGCTGAGTCCACCCCTAAGACCAACACAAGTCCGACACTACACAATCCAAGTTGTGGGACAATCAATGCTCATGCAGCCTGATCTTGCACATGTTCACTCAAGAGTCTCACTAAGCTCTTTGGCCTTGACTTCCACAGAAGTGTATATTTAATTGCAGCTTTGCAGCTCATTTTAAGTTTACTCAGAAATAAATACAACTATATTCAATATAACATGCTACCTAGGAAATATGCTTAGGATTTTAAACCTTCATTATAAAGCTTAGCCTATTTGTACATCCCTGTGCTCTGAAAAAGAGGGGAAAATATAGTATTCTTACCAAGAACAAATGTCGAGGGTGTCTATTTTTTCCAGACACTTTCATTAGTGTTCCTTCTTTAAGAAACACCTGAGAAAGAAAACAGAGACACTGGTACACCTTGCCTCTGCAGGCACTCTTCAACAGGCACATTGGACATTTCCCTCCATATACCAGTATCCTCTCCCACCCCATGTGCTGGTCTAATTGCCTTGTGAGTAAAAGAGAAAGAGTTCAGCCATTATTTAAAAGATCAACAGTGGCACGGCCCTGGTGCAGGCAAGTCATTTGATCGACCTGATAAACCCCCGCAAACAAATGACTACCTGGGTATCTGGCCACCACATACAGAAAGCAAAAGTGGCTCCCACACTAACATGTACAGCAGCCCTGCAAAGCTCTTCCTCAATGGAGAAATGCCTGTTGAAAGTTAGTAGCACTTTGCATGTAATTAAAATAGTTGATATGCTGTCCACCATCAAAAATGGATTCCAGGGCAGTCCATGCTAATCCTAACCCTTAAATTACAACCCCAATCATATGATGAAACACACAGCAAGGATGTCATGGATTATAGCTTCCAGATATATCATACATAAAAAGGCCAGATCAGTGAAAATGTTTTAACGTGGCACCTAAAAGAAAACAATGCTGACCCCAAGCAAGACTCCTCAGCAAGGGCATTCCTAAACCAGGACATCTCAGCAAGAAATGCTGTCTCTCAAATGGATACAGCTTGTCTCTGCAGAAGGATGCATTTAGAGAAGGACAACAGCAGATGATGTTAAAGTGCCAGCAGGTTGTCACCCGGGGTTGACAAGCTAACTCAGTCTTCTCCAACTTGTCACCCCCTCCCCCAAATGTATTGAACACAACTCCTAGACAAGTCTGATATAATTGTAACTACCGTGATAGCTGAGGGATGCTGAGGCCTGTAGTCTCATTCATCAGGAAAGTACCAGGTTAGAGAAGGCTAATTTAGCTCAAGTAGTCCCTGGAATATTTGCCTGGTTTGCACAATCGCCTCAGCTTAAATAAGCCACATGGCCCACTGGGCTGCTTCAGTGTTGCATCCTGCTCCAACAAGCCATGGCACCCAAATTTGGATGACACACCAAGCTGTGCTACTGTGGGTAATTAGGCAACCTGGTATGCACCAGGTCTTAAACAAGCCACTTACCCTTCCTGGTTGAAGAAGATTACTCTGTCCCTTGACACTGTGCTCAATATGTACCAGCTTCTGTAAGTTTTCCTATGACAAAGAAAGGACCAGAGAAAGCAGTTTGGTATTTACTGCCCAGTTCTCAGATGATCATATAACTTTCCTTTTCAAATCCGAGAGATGATAAGGAATGCTTAGTCATCACTAAGAAGCAGCGCTTAAAGTTGATTCCACACTAAAACACTTTGGCACTGTTGAAACATTGATTTTCCTCAATTTGCAGGAAGCAGAATGAATGTGGAAGGAAACTTCTTTCTCCATGACTGCATCCCCTATAATGTTTAATTAAAAGCCAATGCCATTCAGAAAATTTCCCAGTAATGCTAATTCTGGACCTTCATCATAGGTGTAGCCTGGATGTGTGGATGGTAAATAATGAATAGCCTAAAAGTTGCCGTGTAAATAGGGTGATGTGGCTCCATTTCTATTCCCCAGTGGGGGAGGCCTTATTTGTTTATTTTTTTAAAAAAAGAAATGACATGACAGTGTTGTAAAACTGGTGGGAAGATGGTAATGAGGAGATACTAATAATTAAAGCCCCTCTCCTGCAAAAACAAAGTGACACTGAGACAATTGGGAAAGATTATCCTAGGGGTCAACAATGCAGACTTAATCACTAATACCTCACTCAAACTCATCAGACAGCAATAAAACTACTGAAGCTGCAAACAGAAAGTGTTTAATTAAAGGCACAGGGGCCCTTAAAAGGTTTATCTCCACTTTGCATGTGGAGACAGGCTAATGCAGTAACTGCATTTTTTTTTCAGTTTACCATAAATTTGACCTGAAAAAATTGTTGAGGAATACGGGCTTATTAGACATTTATATTCCTAGGATTCATTACCTGGATATCTTCAAAAGGCATAAGCATGGGCTCTCATGGCTATCTCATTTTCATATTTATGTCATCTTAATGGCTATTTTCCAGTTAAATTTCAGCAAAAACACATAAAAACTGGAGTGTACTAAATGGATTTTCCATAAAAGTGAATGAAAAAGGGTAACAGTTTTTGAAAAATGTTAGTGTGGGAGCACATAGAGGCCGCTTTAGAGGAATGTTGCCATCTTTTTAGAGAAGCAACACTGTACTTTAGAAGCTAAATTAATGGAATATAGAGAAAGGAGGAGAAGGGAAAACCTCAGAAAAAATGTGTAATCTGATGAAGAAAATAGAAGCCTCAGTAAAATGGCTGGCTAAAAGCTTCATGTAGAGAAGCCCACAGTCTCTCCACTCTGAGCTCACAGATGGATTGACAAGAATTCAAAGACACCTTTCCTTTTGTGGACTCCAAGGTTTCTCAGATGGGACCAACAACTTATTTTATTATGCCCTGTTCCTGTGCCATTAGAGTAACTTGATCTGCAGGCAGTAGTGAGTGATCCCGTTTACCTTCACACCTTGTATAACTTCATCTGCTGAGTTTGCAGATCAGGTTTCTGTTGGAGGGACAAGCCTGGCCAGGCTCCTTAGGCTTTTCTTTTTCCCCCTATTCAGTTGGGCAATCCTATCCTCAAACCTTCTGCAAGTATCCAGAAGCTCCCTGCCACCTCCTTGGCAGCAGGCATTCCCCCAGCAGGGACCAGCAGCTCAGCCCCAAACAGCTGACCATGCATGTCAGCAACAGGGCCTCAGAAATACAAAACTGGATGGGAATTCCTTTGCTGGCTTGAAAGGGAGCAGAGGGGAAACAGCTGCATGACATTAAAGTTTGCACATCCTCTGCTGCCTTTTCCGCCTCAACCTCTGGATAGAATGAACTTCCCCTTGTGGACACCTCACTCCTTCCATAGAAGAGCTTGTTGCGATAGGGAACACAGAGATGTTTCTCCCTTTCCTCATACTGCGATCCCAGGTTTATTGGAGAGATTAAGCACTGATTAAGCTGGATGAGACAGTGTGCATGCAATTGGTAATTGTGCGAACGGCTTGAAAAAAGCAGCTGCAGGAAGGTTCATCTGGGTCTGGCCCACTGCAAGGAACAAAAGATTAAATCCTCTTTATCCTCACCCAGTCCAGACTTAGGGTCCCAGGGCTACTTGCTTTTTTAAAAGCCATACATTGCAGTTGCTCATCTAGTATGGTCCTAAAAGTCCTGGTTTTATACAAGTTTTTGTTAACTGAATTTTAAAGGGAGGATTACATAGTGGCATATTTTAAATTCATGGCAATAATTAAAATATATTATTTTATATTTTAATGCTGCTTTTAAAAGAATAGCCTTCTTCGTTTCTTCCACAACTGCACTGTTACAGATGCTTCTGTGGCAAGGAAACAAGAAACCAGTTTTTAATGCCACTGTACCACTGATAGGATTATCTGGGTTTTTAAAACACATTTGGTAGTAATAGCTGTGCACTTGTGGTCTTTACCAGTTAGGTTAAGTATTCAGCACTTAATAAAATTGGACCTTCACTGTAGAGATTGGAGAACTCATTATGAGAGTCTGACCCTGATAAATGCCTACCTGTGTTGAAATGCTCGGCCACATTCAATGAACACTAGCAAGCTGCACCATCTCCTACAGTGTGGTATCTAAAATGAATCTAATGAGACCTTTGTTCCCATTAAAGTGACAGTGCTGCATGGCACTTGGGCATGTTAAACATGAGATTTTAATGAATTACTCTCATTGCTTTCACAGCTGCAGTACAGTCCCCTAACATCCCAGCCCTTGTGTCTCTGTTGTCATTTCCCTGCTCCTTTGAAGCATTTTAACTGGCCACACTCTGGAGTCTGTACTTTTGAAAACTCTGCAAGACTTAACTTCCACATTAATATGCTCAGAATCAGGTTGTGAACAAACACATTTGGAAAGGAACAGAACAGAATCAGATAAATTTTGCCCAGTGCCCAAAACTAGGGCTCAGTTAATTGTTTAATTACTGTGATGAATAGATTAAACAGACAGTATAAGAAATAGAATGAATTTCAACCAAAATATTCAATATTGTACAGTGCATGCCTGTCCCTTGATATAAGCACTGCTTTTAAAATGATTTCTGACATCATGCATTGTTTTGGCTGTTATTTAGTCAAGAGAAATGGCTAGCTTAATTAAACAACATAAAGATATCCTATGAATTAGGGTAATTTTTAAAAGTTAAACAACTAATTAGTTAAAAGCAAAATATATAGTTTGCTTTAAAAAAAAGCACTTTCATTCAATTGAAAATAGTGTTAGGGTGTAACCTTATGGAAATTTAGGTGAAAAACAAGCTGACAACTTCTAGTATGTTCCAGCCAGCTCTGTTGGGAATTGTAGGCCCCTTTTCTGTCCAAAAATCCATAGCATCTTGCCTTTAATGTCTTTTATTGTCTTTCTAGGAGCTGTTTTAATACAAATTCAATCTTGCTTTTGAAAAAGATAACTCTTGGTTAGTGATCCCCAAATATTCCAAAGCTTAAAAAAACCAGTTTCAGGGTTGTGGGGAGAAAGAAATGCTTCATGAAAAGCTGCTAGCAGAATGCACTCCCACCCAGACAGAACTAGCTTGCTAGAGGGAGATAAGACTGGGAAAGAATCCATCTGCCAGCTCAGAAGGCTTGGGGGGGGGGCTTTCCTCCCCCAACACCCCCATTCTGCTGTGGGAAGGTCTGCAGAGGAAAAAACCTAGATAGCACTCAGATGGCTTAGGCAATCTAAAGGTGTTTGATCATCATCCTCAGCTAGCATGGGCAATGGGACTTGTAGTTTATTCAAACGTCATTTTAACTGTTAATAGTATTTATTTATTTTATTCTTTGGCCAGGGCGACTTATTTTATATTGTTAACTTGTTTTATATTGTTAATTTATAGTATTTTAATTGATTTATTTGTAAGCCACCCCGAAGGCTTCGGCGAATGGGGCGGCATAGAAATTTTCTAAATAAAATAAATAAATAAATAGTCCCACACACCTCTCTAAAATTTTGAACAAAACTTTTAAAATATTGATTCAACTTCTGTTGACAATGTTAAGGGTGAGGTTCAACTTTTCTTTTTCCCTGAGACTCTAAAAATGCTTCTCACAGATCGGGTTGCCAGCTTTTCTGTGGTTATGATTCTCAGGCCCTTAACTGCAGCCTGACATTCAGAATTTAAAGAGGTAAAGCTCTTCCCAGCACTCAGTCTCTGTACCCGGAGATGCTTCGCCTTCAAAATCAAAGTGTGCCAATCCTCTTTTAAGGATAAAGGAGCAGAGCCAGAAATGATTATTTTGAAAAGTGGCAACCTTGACAGGTTGAAATGTATACAGCTCCAGAGAAGCAGTTTTCTCCCTATGTAGTGAAATGGAAACAGCAACTTCACCTCACTGGTGTGAATGTTCAGAATTTTGCAGTACAAGGACCCATCTGTCTTCTGTTCACAAGGAAAACATTACTGAAACCTGGGTAGTAAACCAGATCATGAAAATGCTGGCTGCATTTCACTTTTGGCACAGGTTCCAGTGGCATGGTTTTTAAATTCCACAATCAGAGATTCCCAGCTGTGTGGAAATGTGGGACATTTTTGGCTCTGTTTGAAGCAGCTGTTTTGACCTTCCATCTAGACAAAGCACATGGCTTTTGTTTTTAGAAGGTGAAAGTTTGTTTCCTCTTCACAGGCATGGTCAAATTAAGTTACAGTAGAAAAAACGGCTGTCAGGTGAATCTGCCTTGCAACTCTTGTCAGTTGCTTTCCGAGAAACCATAATTTTCAAAAGAATAACTAAATTCCTAACAGAACCCTCCAAAAGCATGTTGCAACAGGAGTGTTCATATACTGGTCCCTGTCATGTGGTTCACAGAAGCTTCTGTACTCCATCAATTTTCAGCAGCATGGTTGAACAGCATGCAGTGCTATGCTCTTGCATCCATATTTAGTATTGCCTAGGTCAGTAACTTGAAGACCACATTAGTTTTCTGATAAATGCAAAGGTAAGTTGAGGAGTGTTATTCTGTTTTTGGTCTGATGTTTTTCTGATCCTCTTCCCTACATGCTTGGCAGCACCCTAAAATTCTGCTTCTACAAGAGATGGGGGATGGAATGGATGATATACCAAGAGGGAGCTATCTAGTCTCCTTTGTGAAAGCCAAATTAGATGTGACATAGGAGAGCCATGACTGGGTCTTCAGGTATCTTGTTCTCTGTTTAAAAACAGCTGCTGTAGGGCTCCAAAATGTATCAATGCCATGGTGTTGGTAGGGTCAGCTCTTAGCTGTGGACAGGATGGAGGACAGCAGGTGACTATTGTACAGATATGGGAAAGGAGGATTTAACCACAGGAAATGAACAGGCAAGCACCTTCCCCAGTACTGTGACTTGCAGCCAAGTTGTCACATAAAATCTATTTTTAAGCAAATGGAAAGATGCCAGGAGTCATCGTTCTCCTACATCATGTTTAATTGCACCATCAAGCTAACTAACAATATGTAGGAAAAAGGACCATTTACACAGCCTAATCCTATCCATGATGATGCAGCAAGAAGTCCCACTTCATTCAATACTTCGAAGTAAGCTTGTATGGCAAAGGAATTTACTTCTTAGGAAACATGCAGGATCACGTGGCCATCCTATGTACATTTCCAGGCTGGCTTTTCTTTGTATTCTTCCCTGGCACGCCTTTTTTGTTTTAATTCCCCCAGCAGAAACCAGTGGAGAAAAAATAAAGTATACTAGAGGGCACATTCCTGGTGTCTCCTGAGGGAACAGATGAACTTTGGATACCGTGGGTCCAATGGTAACCCCAGTGCCACCTCTGAGAACACCACTAGTAGTAGACTTAACTGAGGCCACCAGTTAAATGTACTGCTCCTGCCCAACAGTGGAACTCATCTCCACTGCTGGCATCAAAGGTAGGCATGGATGGGCACCTTCCAGGGGTCCACACCCCAGCAGGGCCCCACTGACAAGACTTCCCTGGAGTTGCTCCTCCTCCTCGCCATGGCAACCTGTTTGCTCCTCAGCCTCTCACTCTGGCCCAGATCATGGTGGTGGTGACATGGAGAAGCATAAGATGCCCCTGCTGACTTGTTCTCTGGTCCTCTGCCTGTTGGGGTGCAAGTAGGAGCAAAGATGGGAACGAGGAGAAGGAGCAGTAGGCCCCAGTGATAAAGGTGGTGAGAAAGTAGACTGCTCGGTCTGAGATTCCTGTGAGATTTTACATATTATCTAATGAATTTTCACAAAATAAAGGCACCAAGGTAATATTGCTTTGTTATTTATGAACACCACTACTATTTAGGAACTCTGGCCGCACTCACCCCTTGTTGCATACTGTCATTGGCTCGGTCTGTAATTTCTGAGATGATGAGCAACGCAGCTGTGGTGGAGGGAACAACACAGAGTCATGAATGAGTTTATGCAGGGAGTAAAATGGTTTCCACTACACTGCAGTCCTAAACTCACTTGTCTGGGAGTCCTGCTGAATGCACTGCACTTGTTTCTGAATTTATCTTATATACTGTATCATATATTGTTTTATGTATCATATATTGTTCTTTCTAAGTATTCAATATAACATATTTTGAGACCATTAAGAACTTAGAGAACAGTAGGTTTTGATGTGAGCTTCAGTCCAAATGACACGAACTGATGAGATAATTTGTTTTATCTATTTTATCTATTATATTTCTATTCCACATGTTCTCCTTTCAAGGAACTCAGAGTGGCTTACATAATTCTCCTGCTGCTCTCAGTCTTATCCCCACAACAACAACCCTGTGAGTAGGCTGGGCTGCGAGGCTGGGACTGGCCCAAGTCACTCAGTGAGCTCCATGGCTGAGTGAAGACAGAGCCCCAATTGCTTGAGCGCTAGTTCCGCTCTCTTAACCACTGCACCGCACTGCCTTTCTTATTTATGCTAAAATCAAGCTAAGATCCAAGTACAGTGATGTTGTTCGTTCACAGACTTTTCTTAGACAAGTCACTATTTTATCACGCAAAATAAATACTTTTAAAAATTATTTTCATTTAAATTACCTTGTGTATCTTCATACTCTGCAGAGTCAGGGCAAAGATTATTCAAGTAATCTGTGAGGAAAACATCAGATATAAAGCATGTAATGAGTTTCAGATAGACTCTTTCGGTCAACTCATTCATTTTAGGCACAATCACCTTCATGGTAGGATACAGGTATCATTATTTGCTCCTTGGGAGCAAAGAACGGGACTATACACTGCTTTTGGAGCCACTGGCAGAGAAAGAGAACCATCCTTGACACTGTCCCACCTCTGCCATCAGTGCGCAAAAAAAGCAGTAGGTGGTAGGAAGGTGTGCATCCAGCAGTCAATCAGGGCAGATTAAGGCAGGCTTTGGGTACTTCCCTTCCCCAGCATGCCTCTCCAAAGTGTGGCGATCACTCCGGCTGGCATAGTTATGTTGCTTCTCGTTCTTCCCACCTAACCTTCTGATTCACACGAACCTGACAGGGTTATTTGGGGACTGCCAGCCACCCCAAACAAGCCAAGCCACCCTTGTTTGTATGACACAGCAATACATTTAATTAAATAAAACAGTCCAGCATGCATCCAACATGTATCATGGCTACAGCGAGCTGTTGCTTCTCAATTTAGCTGCACTCATGTCCCTGTGCACTTCTGCATTTGGCTGCTGCAAAAGTGGGAAGCCTCAGCTGGGCAATGTGAAAGTGGAATAGGTACCAACCCTAGACATCACCCAGAGAGGGTGCAAATACAGATTTTTTTAAATGCTGCTTTCTCTTGACAGGTGGGAAAAGGTGAGCTGTCAGGGGAGAGCAAAGCTGTGAGCAATCCTGGCTGACAAAAGGGTGGGGGGGGAGATGTAAACCCCTTTTGCAGCAAGGTCCCCACCTTTTTCATTTTTTGCCCTTGCCATCCTCAAGGTCCTGTACTTTTTGTACTATTCTGCTAGACTCAAGCTGTTCCAGAAAATGCAAAAGTACTTCCTACTCCATTTTCAGGGGAAAGGCATTTTAAGAGCTAGCTTCCTTTTAAAAAGGAACTTGCACAGGTCAATGGGTATTTTAGGACAGATGTCAGGATAACATGGCTTTCATTAGTTTTCCATCCCTCATGACTGCAAATTAAAATAGAAGACAACTTTCTGTTAATCCCAGAGAAGGTGTAGCGATTGTTTTCTGAAAGTGTTTAATTCCATATTAACCTCAGTCTCATTCCAAACTTTTCATCTGCTCACTGCCTGGATGCAGGGGAGAGAGGTACAACTTTTGAAATACTTATTTATTAAAAATCTAGATCCCACTGTTCCATTTCAAACTGAAATGCCCAAAGTAGCTAACCCCAACAATTAAAGATGAGGATAATTCAAAGCATCAACAAAATTTTTTGTGATGCTTGTTAGTTTTTCAGGTGTTGCAAGTCTCTGATGGATTTGCTACAACAAAGTAACCTGGTTATTCCTCTGGAAATGAATGAAAGGAAAAGCATACAGTTGGAAAGCAGCAGAATCTATAATCATCATCATCATCCTCTTCCTCCTCCTCCTCTTCCACAAAAGACACTAGATCTAAGAAGTTCAGCCACTGGTAATCTAGGGCTTGCCAGAATGAAAAGACATAGAGGATCAAAGACTTCCAGTCAGTGGGGGCCAGATGTGACTCCCTTGGCAAGGAGTTTCACAGCCAAGATGCTGCAATAGAGAAGGCCCCGTCATACGGCCCTCCCAACTTGGCCTCTGTTGGTGGCAGCAGCAAGACACACAGCAGGGCCTCCCCAGCTGATCTTGGTGGATGGACAGAATCACATGGAAGTAGATACATTGACCAAGAGGTTAGCATTATGGTTGGGAAAAAAGAAGAAAGAACTGAAAAAAGAGATTTGTTTTTAAATTGCAGATGTCCAAACTGCATGAGACAACAGGATGCTTTCTCCTGCTGATCCTTTTACTCTGGCTTAATTATATCATAGTTTAGGTAAACTAAGAGTAGAGACTGAAGTAAACATTGATCAACATAAACTGATTCCCAAGCAAATTATGTTTAACTGGGGAAAGCCATATTTAATCTTTCTCTGCATGAAGCTCGGTACAGATTACAATTCCTTTGAATTAACTATCATGAGTTGTGACTCATATAACTGTATACGAGATGTTGAGCAACTCTTGTTATTTCTGGCCCTCTTTGGACCAAGGGAAGAACTGTTGCAATAACAAATTTGCAATGTCTGTGTAGGCTATACACAAAAGCTGTCTCTGGTGACTTGAGGCATTGCTTATCCCTGCCTGATGAATCATTGTGGTCTACAATAATTTCTCCCAAATGGATATGAGAAGTCAGAAATATTGCAGCTGTAGGGCTTTGGCGGGTCATCCTAAATCTTTCCCACAATGCATTTTATCCTTCTTCTTTAGTAATATAAATGAAAGCAACAATGCTGAGAATGATGAGGTTCTATCACTGTGAGTTGAGGTGGTCCTTTAAGAGGGAAAAGAAGTCATCTGAGCCCCTTTCTGGAAACAGTTATTAGTGTACTTGGAAAGCAAGAATTAAGGCTTTTCACTCTAGGCTTTGGCACTTTGAGGAAGGAAGAGGACTCAAAGGCAGAGGGAAAAGCTGCACCAATGCCTTGGGTTTGGTCTCCTGCACCAGAGTGGAGTTGGCCAAGCAGCATCTGTACCCAGCAGGGGCAAAAGAAGGCAGCAGCAGAGAAAGAACAGGGCTCTTCCTTACAATGTGCTTTCTCTTCTTGTCCTAAGAGGTGTGAGCTGCCAGAGGTAGAAGGGAAGTCCTCAGGGCCTTAAAGGGAAGTCCCCAGGGCCTTGAGATCTGCGGGAGAGGCCCTTCTCCAGGAACCCTCTGTGAAGGAAATTAGGAGGGTGAGTACTCGGAGGAGGGCTTTCTCTGCAGTGGCGCCCAATCTATGGAACGCGCTCCCCAGAGAGGTCCGCCTGGCACCATCGTTATTTGTTTTTCGGCGCCAGGCGAAGACCTTTTTATTCAAATGTTAGTTCAATTGTTAATAGCATTTATTCATTTTATTCTTTGGCCAGGGTAACTTAATTTATATTGTTAATTTATATTATTCTATTGAAGTTTATTTATGGTTGTGAGCCGCCCCGAGGCTTCGGCAAATGGGGCGGCATAGAAGTCTCCTGAATGAATGAATGAATGAATGAATGAATGAATGAATGAAAGAAAGAAAGAAAGAAAGAAAGAAAGAACTGTTTGAGTTTTCTTCAGCTTTCTCCAGTGCTGGTCCATGTGGAAAGGCAGAGAGAGTAGCAACACAGGGAAGCTTGTTCTTCCTCGGCTCTTTTTGTGAGTAGCGTATGAAGACCTTTCTTGCTGTGTTTTGTCTCCTGACTTGTCCCTGTAAGCAGCTGGGATAGAAAAAGGCAGGGAGTCCAGACGGGGACTGCAGCCAAGAAATTAAAAGATGCTTGCTCCTGGGGAGGAAAGCTATGGCAAATCTAGACAGCATACTAAAAAGCAGAGACATCACCCTGCCAACAAAAGTGCATATAGTCAAGACTATGGTTTTCCCAGTTGCAATGTATGGCTGTGAAAGCTGGACCATAAGGAAGGCTGAGCGCCGAAGGATTGAGGCCTTTGGATTGTGGTGCTGGAGGAGACTCTTGTGAGTCCCTTGGACTGCAAGGCGATCAAACCAGTCAGTCCTAGAGGAGATCAACC